CCCCCCCCCTCGAGCCTGTATTCGGTTTCCGAGTACCTGCAGATCGAGGCGTCAAACATATGATGCCGGGCGATTTACTGGTGTTATGTTTCAGCCTCTGTACCAACACGTCGTCGAGGAACGCCGAGTCGCAAAGCGGCTGCCCTCGTATGCTGAACACACGAGCGGCGGACACGCTCGCGAGGCGGTGTTGGCCACCATCGAGGAGACACTCGACAGACTCGGTCCGCAGCTGCGGCAGCTCAGCCTGGACATTTGGAGCCATCCCGAGACCTTGTGGGAGGAACGGTGCGCGGTCCACTGTCACTGAGCCCTTGGTCCCCGTCGTGTTCAACGACCTGGTTCTGCCGGTACAGACACGCCCATGATGCGCTCACGTCGTTCATGTCTGAGCACGGCTTCGACGTGACTCCGCATTACCTCGGCCTCGCCACGGCCTGGCGCGCCGTCTACTCTCGTGCGCCTTCGGTCGCCGGTGGCGGCGCTGCAGCGGCTCCCCGCGTTATTGGGATAAACTCTGAGATGGATGCGCTCCCTGGCATCGGCCATGCTTGCGGGCACAACTTGATCGCGATGGCCGGGGTTGGAGTCGCCCTTGCGGTCAAAGCCGTGCTCGAGCAGCATGATGTCCCGGGGAAGATTGTCCTGCTCGGGACACCTGGTACGCGTGTCTGGCAGTGCGCAGTGTCTCCTGCCGTGCTGACCCCGTGCAGCCGAAGAGGGCGGAAACGGCAAGGGGATCTTGTTGGAGCGCGGCGCGTACGAAGACATGGACGCCTGCATAATGTGAGCTCTCGTGTTCTCCTGCACGTAAGATTGCCATGTCGATCCGTTTTCGCTAGGTGCCACCCGTCCGCTGGTGAGCCCAACACAGCATCTCTTGGCCCGTCGTTGGCCAGGCAGGAAGTCGACGTCGAGTTCTTTGGACACGGGTGCGTGCTCCTTTGCATGTCTGAATGTGTCGTTCAACTAGATATTCCATCTATGCGCTCGCTCATCTCAGCGCACACGCCGGCGCAGCCCCATGGGAGGGACAGAACGCTCTGGATGCCGCGTTTCTTGCGTACTCGAGCGTATCCGTACTTAGACAACAAATCAAGCCCACCCACCGCGTGCATGGCATTGTCATCGGAAAGGACTGGGCCCCGAACAGTACGTCTATTCACGTGTGTCCGTATCGGTGATAGGGCTGAATGGCCGAAAGTCATACCTGACAACGCGCAAATGCGCTGGGTCGTGCGCGCGCCCACCTGGGACGAAGTGGAGACCCTCAGCAAGCGTGTAGTGGCATGCTTTGAGTAGGTCCCGGACCTCGACCGCGCTCGTGTAAGTGCAGTAATCGTTTATTCCGCAGGGCGGCGGCACACGCTACCTCTTGCAAGTTCAAGATCGGTACCGGCGCCGGAGCCTATGACTTGCGGCAGAACAAGCCACTTGGTATATGCTCCTCTCAGGTCCCATCGCATATAACTAACAAATTCGCAGGCCAGGAATTTGCCCAGATTGCCAAGCGTTATGGAGTCACGGCTGAATTTGACGGAGGAATGTCCGCTTCAACCGATTTTGTCCGTATGTTCAATCTTTCTTGTGTGCTCGATCTGATTTTTTTTTTATTTACACAGGGGAATGTTACTTACGGTACGGCTATCCTACTTTTGCTCTAAGATAGCTGTGCTTTCTATCTTACACCTTTCATGAACCTAGCTCTTCCGTCACTTCATCCTGGTTTTACTATTCCGACGCAGCCCAACGGCGGAAACCATACGCCGCAGTTCACCGAAGCAGCTGCCACACTGGATGCACACTCCAAGACGATCACAGTTGTCAAGGCTTTAGCCGCCGTGGGGTTCCGTGTTCTCGATGATGCTGAGTTTGCAAAGAAAGCCAAGTTGGCGTGGGAGGAGGATATGCACATGGAACACATGTCCCGGTAGGTATGTGTATGAACTTTACGCTGTCGGTTTGACTGTCTGTAGGCAGGCCACACGGCCACAGGGTCTTAAATTTGAGCCGCAGTCACGTGTAGAGGTGGAATACAGTATTCTTTGACCTCCTGCATGCCGCGTGGTAGTGTGATGTTTCATTTGCCACTCGCCGCTCCGGCTTATAAGTATTGCGTGTGGTCTCTCGTTCACAACCTTCTCTTCCCATTCCCCTCTTTCAACGCGTAATGGCTGGTTCCATTCAAGTGGCTATTCCTCACGCAATGCAATACGATATATCATATGAAGACGGCAATGTGGTCCTGGTCGCGGGCAGCGCCTCATTCTGTGTTCATCGAAGCGTGCTATCGCAGCATTCGCCTGTTTTCAGAGACCTCTTCACGGTTCCGCAACCGCCCAATGTGATTCTGCAAGAAAAGTGCCCCGTCGTGCATTTGCCAGACGATCCCACCCACGTTCGCTACTTGTTGCGTGCTTTGTACGATAGATCGTGAGTCCCCTACTACCCCTCCGAACGAAGCTTTGTCTCTAAGAAGGCTGCGCTCACCCCGTATCACGCGAGCAGCTTCTTTAATGATATGCATTGGCTGCCCAATTTCGCCGAAGCGGCTGCCGGCATCCTCGTTTTGGCTCACAAATACGACATTAGGCACCTCTACGACGAGGCAATCCACAGAGTTTATACAGCGTATCCGCGCACATTTGCGGATATGAACGCGATGCGCTGCTTCCACCTAGAACACTTTAATGCAGACGACCACGCCGGGCTTATCTTCCTCATCAACGTTGCACAACGTCTGCCGACGTCCGAACTCGCAGGCTTTCTACCTCTGGCTTTCTATATCTGCTGTCAAGTCAACCCCGGTGTCCTTGTAAATGGAGTGTATCGCTCGGATGGCACCCGGGAAAAGCTGTCTCATGACGATCTCCAGCGGTGTATCTCGGGAAAGGAAGGACTGATGGGCGCCAACACGGTCGGAACACTCTGTCTTCGCCCTAGGAAGGAGAACGTGAGCCATCTCTGTACTACCAATGACGCGTGCCACAGCGCGTTGGTGGGGATGGTGGACGACGCACTCGAGGGCGACATCTTCGCCTCCTGCGATGCGCTTACCAACATCGACGGCTGGATCGAAGAGAGGGCCCTCGCCCAGAAGCTATGCGCATTTTGTACGGAACATTTGAAGAGACGCCATGAGGTAGAGCGACAGGTTGTCTGGGATGATCTGGCGGACTGCTTTGGGCTCACATTTAAAACGAATTAATGGATTGACTTGAAATTGGACTGGAAATATGCACTTTGAATTGTGTATCATAACTAATGTACGGCGTTACCACTAATGATGGAGACTTTATTATTTGAAGTTTGTTCGGTCTACTCACGGGCAGCTTGTGGCTGGAGATCAAGCGTGGCCGAGAGATTGCTGAGTCAGGCTCGGATCTACGATCACCATGTCCGAGCTGAGATCCGGCTCGCATTAGCATACGTACTCTCGACCATCCACCACCTCTTCCTTGTTCAAGACCCCTTATATTTACGATGGAAACACCGCCCGCAACAATGGAACTGACCATCACTCATCGCGGAAACGCATATCACATAAATCTGCTCTCAGATGACACCATTGCGATGCTGCAGAGCCGCCTAGAAGAACTTACGTCAGTACCTCCATCCTTTCAGAAACTACTGTACAAGGGGAAGAAACCGAGTCTCAAGGATGATAACACCCTCGCACAGGCAGGACTCAAGGATGGCATGAAGGTGCAGATGCTGGGCTCGACGGCGGAAGAGCTCGGCGGGATGAGAGCGGTGGAGGACGAGCACAGCCGACGAGAACGTATTATGCGGGAACGCGCAGCAAAGGCGCATGCAAAGGTATGTCGGCGTATTCAGTCTGTTCATAATTCTTCACTCTGTCCTTTGCCAGGTCCGCTCGACTGGCGCGTCTTCATCTGCAGCAAGCTCGAGGTACCAGTTTCATCACATCGAACCCCTGCCACATCTCCCCGATCCACCGTCTGCCCTCGCGCTCCTGCAGCGCTTGGCGGCCGATCCTGCCATCCGGCATATCATGCAGAAGAACCAGCTTGCTGTGGGCGCCCTAACAGAGCTGGCACCACACGAGCAGCCGGAGCTGCTGGGGCTGAACGTCAACGCTGGGCAGACAATCAAGCTGCGCATCCGCACCGACCGATATGACGGTTTCAGGCTATATAAAGACATCAGGAAGGTTCTATGTCATGAACTTACCCATAATGTCTGGGGCGATCACGACGACAGCGTGCGTATCTTATACGTCTCGCTTGTTTTGCGGCGGTATTAAATCATACGGGTCCTCCGCTGCACAGTTCAAGGAAATGAATTCTCGATTGAACCGTGAGGTTGCTGAGTTCGAGCGCTCCGTGTCCGAAGGGACACATCACCTGGCTGGACTCGGCGACGTGTATGCGCCTTCGTCTGAAATCGAGGCCGAGGCGCGGACGTACCTGAGCGGAGAGGGACTCCAGGTGTTAGGAGGGTCTTCATCAGACTCTATGCTGAACGAGACCCGGGAGGAGAGGCGGATACGATTGCTGGATGCTACCATGAGGAGATTACAGAAAGAGGAGGAAGAACTAGAGCAGATGTGCGGGACCACCAAATCACCCTAGATATGCAAAAGAAGCGTATTATTTGCATACGTGGTCATTTAATAATATAACTTCCAATAATATAACATTTCAATCGAGAGTTAAAAACACAAATTTAATTATGTAAGATTCCAAAAAGGAAATATGGCCAACGCCGGGATCGAACCGACGACCTTGGCGTCGCAATATTAGCACCACGCTCTAACCAACTGAGCTAGTCGGCCACTTGAATATTGTTGTGCAATCTTTATCATGGGGACATTACATTATCAGGGCCCCGCCTCGGACCTCGGTTCCGCCTGTCGACTGCTCCTCCTTGATCTCAACTATCACTATGGCCTCATCGAAATCACATAAGTTGTCTGTATCCTCGCCAGCGAAGGGAGCTTCGACACCGCCGTTGAAGCAAGGCGTCCTTGGTTTCAATGCTGCCAAACGTGCAGCATCTTCCGGATTCTCAAAAAGGGACGCTCGACCGTCGACCAAGCGAACGCTCTCGTCTACTGCTAGCTCAGACAAGTCCAATGCTATCGAAATCTCTAGCGACAGCAGCGATGAGGATGATCACAACGCTCAGAATAGTGGAGAAAACAGGGAAACAGAGTCCCAATCCACGGTCAGCCGCACAAATGCCAGCAGAAAGTTAGGCACCGTGGGTCCTTTTGGCCGTGAAGGTGAGCCTGTGTCGAAGAAGAGACGCGCCGTGAAGGGTGTCTTTGACTCGAGAGATGGGACCGAAAATATCGAAGCCGCGGAGAGCACACCATCTGAGGAGGCCAAAGTCAAGCACCTCACTGTAGACGATGACAAGAGCAGCTTGGATCTCAAAGACAGGTCGGGAAGGTGGAGGAAACACTACGGAATAGTCAGAGAGAAGATGGGTAACATAGAGCCGGGTGAGTTTGCCGTCTGGCGTGATGTGTGCTCGGTGCTGCGAGCGACTATATGCGGCCGTCCCCCTACTTCATATGGTCGTTCGCTGTTCTCAAGCACATAGAGTCATCATATCTACCATGGGTGCAGCCTTCATCAAACTATTCATTGACGTCCTCACCTCGCGGGCTCGGGTCTCGTCTGCGCTAAAATTGGGACTAACAACACTGCATGCGTCTTCAGTGCATGCGCATGGGCAAAACATGGTGGATCACATACTGAGAGTCTTCGATCTGTTAGTAGCATATCGTCTTCCTCTTCCTCACTTTCAGATCTCTTATTTACACCGTAGGTCATATGAGTATGGTCCGTGCATAGGGGTCACTCGCCTTGAACGATGGGAGCGTGCTGAAACACTCGGCCTCAAGCCCCCTCCCGAGGTGCGTGCTGCCCCAGAACTGGCCATCACCCGTGTTGTTCACGCTCTGTTTCGGCACCGGAAGGTGAAGGAGATCTTGCTCACCAAGGAGGGCAGCGAGGATGCCCGGTATTCCGAATGCGTCTTCTACGGCGAGGTCTAGAATCCCATCTTTATCGCCTTCTCATGCTGCGTCTCGCCAATATGCTCCCGTAGGCCCATCTCCCTCTGGCCTCGTGATCATCCATGCCGTGCTCGTTCTAGCCTGCTGCCCAACATCGTCCGCTGCTTCAAGTGTATCCTAGACTGCTGTATCGTTTTTTGCTGGTTGTGCTTGTAATGCGATTGTAGCTTTGTTTCAAGATCATTTACACCATTTATCGCTTCCATTCTCTGGTTCTCGAATCTCAACGCATGGCTCCGTCGAAGTGGTATTTTAAGCCTTCTAAGTATAGAAGGCGCCGGCGCTGCAACCGTGATGATTGTCCCTTGATCCTGCGATCATTTGACTTATCTTGTTGTATCGGTATCACGGCGGGCTATTCAAACGTTCTTTTAACACGCCCGCATCTTTTTGTACATTGTCGTGTAGCTCTGAGGGCCTCCTGTCATTCCTTTTTTGTTGCCACACACTTTCATTTCTGGCTTCTCATTCTCTCTAACACGCACTCATAACGCACCATGTCTGACAGCTCTAGTGAATCCGACTGTAGCTCGCTCCCCCCTACACTCCAGCGACCTCTCCGCGATACCACTTACCAGCCTGCGACGAACGACCCATTGCAAGTAGGTTCTGCAACTGCCAGTGACCCGACTGCTGCGTCCAGCGCGTCAACTTTTAGTCCATCCAAATCGCCCAGACCATCCGACACTCAACGGCCTATTCTTCCTCATCCTAAGCAACACTTCAAGAACTCTGTGCATCGCGTCATCGCAGCGCGACGCACACCCACAATGATGCTCTCCAGCCATGTCGGCGCAGAGCCAGGCATTGATCCCCGTCGTGCATCTGCAAACGCGCACTACGGGAATCTTCGTCAGCAGTGCGTGATCGAGCTCGTTGACTACTCCGTCTCGCGATGCTCTTTCGGACGTATGACGAATCAGGAGCTGGTGAGCTATTTGAGTGACCCCGTCGCGAGCGAGAAAGAGCCGTGGACGAAGGTGCGGTGGATCAACGTCGGAGGCATGAGCTGGGATGTGATCAGTGCTCTTGCTCTAAGATACGGTGAGTTTTTCTTGTTCTGAGAATTTCAACGCTGATGGACGGCTCGCAGACATGCATCCACTTGCAATTGAAGACATGCTGCACCAGCACGGCCATGCCCGCTCAAAGGCTGACTACTACCCCAAACACTTGTTCCTTCGTCTACTTTGCCATCGGCTAGCACCGGACGATGATATCTCCCTTGATGCATCTCTCGGACATATGCCGGTTGATCCGGTCACTATTCTTCGTAGTGAATCGCCCGAACCGATGGACCCCGAGCATCCCGACGACAAGGGATACGAGACGGCAGATGAAGATCACACAATGTACGGTAGTAGCCCATATATCGGTGCTAGCTCGTCGAAGTTCTCCGCGAAGGGTAAGTCTTCTGCGCCAGTCGACGTAGAGGCAATGAGCGGAGAGAAGCCACGTCCGAGACCCGTGCCTCATCACTCATGGTCATCGAGCTTTATGCATCGGGCGCACAAGGTGAGAGGTTCCATTATCAGGGCCGAATGATGAGCTGATGCCTTCGGCGGGGAGCAGAAACAGAAACATGCACAAGACTGGAAGCTCATCCAGAAGCTGAAGAAAGGCGAGAGAGTGAATGTGAAGCTCTATCCTGTTTGCATCTTCCTCTTCCGTGATGGTAGGCTATCATAATACTTGTCTGTAGTTGTATTTCTGACATTGTGCGATTAGGCACTGTTATTTCGATATCACAAGGCGCGTCGTATTATTTGCTCGTCCATGATGCGAAATACTGACTTGAGTACATTAGATCCGAAGCTAGACTTTACCGCCCCAATTCGGGATCGCTTACGACAATCGGACACGGGCTTGCGTACGACTGCTGATCCCTCTCTTCTGGTCCAAAGTCTAATCGACTTGAGTGAGTTCAGAAATTTCTTTGGCAACTCAGAACTTCTTCTGACTTTTATCCGTTACGCTTCTCCCTTGTTGCTAGTTGTTGATCAAGCGTTGGAAGTGGTGGAGGAGTATCAAGGGAAGATTCTCAACATTGAGAAGGCTGTGCTCCTCAAGCCCAACATGAAAACCGTCACTTCGCGTGCGTTCCATTCACATAATGTTCGTGTCCTATTGCTGCGTGCTAACATCTCTGGATAGTGCACGTTTTCCAAGAGGACCTCATTCTCCACAAGAGGACTCTTGAGCCGCTCAAGACTCTTGTCTACGGACTGCGCCGATATGACGCGGACCGCGCAGCAGCTATCATGGAAAGCGAAGACGCAGAGATGGATCCCGCAGTCCGCCCTGTGGGTTACATGAGCGACAAGGCAAAGATATATCTTGTGAGTGGATATATGCGCGCCCTCATAATTCATTATTAATCACGTCGTGTAGGCGGATGTGTACGACCATCTAGAGTATATCCTTAACAGCCTCGAAATGTTTGCAGGAATTAGCGATAATTTGATCAATTATACATGCAACGTATGCCCCGCCACATGCATCTCGCTCACTCCATCTTACGCACGATTTTGCAGATGGTCTCGTACGAGATGAACGAGGTCATGTACGAACCCTTTCTATGGCCTTCGCGTGTTCCCAATCTGACTATCATTTGACAGGCGACGACTCACACTGGTGACAATCATCTTCCTCCCGCTCAGTTTCCTTTCTGGCTACTTCGTACGTTACTATTACTGTCTTGTCACCGATAGTTCTATCCCTCATATTGCATCTAAGGGAATGAACTTTCAACACATGTGGTCAACCATGACACCAACCCATTCTGATCTTCTGTACGTCGCCCTTCGTTTGTTCCCGACTTTTGGACCTTCGTTGATTGTATTCTCCATAAACTACGTCGCCGCATATCCGATCCGTGGAACAATTTGAAGCTTCTGGGAGATTGCCCTGCCGGTCATGGTGTTTGTCGTGCCTATGTTCATGTGGCCGGACCTCAAGCGTATGGCACATTATGTCCGTAAACGTCTACTCAAGTCATCAGCGGGGAAGGTATGATGAACAATTTATTACTTGTTGAAGTTGTTGATATTGCTGTTGCTGACTGTACTTTACAGAGGCATAAACTGGACTAAACATCATCTAGACTTTCTTATCTTCAGAAGTCATTGGAGATTTATTGGATGAGGGCCTATTCATACTCATGCTCATGCATAAGTGCATTGTAGTAATGATATTTATTCTATCTTTGAGTTCTGCATGTACCTACAACTCCATCTTATACCCACAGCCATTCCACATAATAATTAACATGAGAATTTCATCTTCATGAGATTGAGGGACTAAGAACAAAAGAGAATGTTAAAAAATAGCAAGCTTTGCACTCCAATAAGACAAACAAAGCTCTCAGATTCTATTTGCCAGATCCTACCATCTTGTCAAAAGACAAGGGGAAGAAAATCCAGCAAAAAGAAAAAGCGAGATCCCCCGACGACACGAGCCAGTACTGCAATAGCAAGGTCATCGCGCCCCCGAGTTGCAAGCAGAGCTCGAAGGACAAGGGCGACAAAAATTAGATAACCAATAATGGAGGCGGTGCCTCCATAATAGTGGTTAAACTATTAAGAACAGATACTACACTTGATCTAAGCCAAAAGGCCAGAGTGGTAAGGAACCAGGATGCGCGAGCATGGCTTATATACTACCGGGTCTTGCGCACGGACCAGGTGTTTGTGTTGGCATACGGCCGGATGCAAACACAGGCGGGCCAGGCTACCCGACTCCCAGCCTCAAGTTGCTGCTCATTGCGCATGACAGCTCGCTCTTGAAAGTCTCAGAAATAATCGCTTTAGCCTAGTCAGCTGTTGCGGTACAATGCATTCATGAATTTTGTTTCGATTGTCCGGACAACACAAAACCATCTCCCGGGACTCAAAGGGCGATACGCACTAACCATTCAGTGTGCTGTGTTGCTGTTAATACGACGCGCGTAAGTGGCTCGATGTCTCCCTGCATTTATTCTGGGATTGACTGAGCAGCATGTGTCGATAGTATCTGCCCTGAGTAAGCCCCAGGCTCCTGACCATCCGGCTTCAAGAGGTAAGGCTCTATCTCGCCAGTCACAGCTACATATTACGTGTATACTCATACTCAAATCAATCCAGCTCTTTCTTCCGTTCATTGTACCACACATCCTTATATTCCCCCTTGCCTCCCTCTACCTCTGCCGCCAAGAGAGAAGTGGAAACAAGGTTCAAAAGAAGACACGCGAGAGTAGCGCAGGGATGCTGTGTGAGTTCTATTAATATGCAGCTGGCGGGATAAAGTCCCCATCCCTCGAGTCGAAGCAAAAGATAGGCAAGAGCTTGAGTAAGCTCTGACACTTCCTCACGGGAATTGAGAACGTGCTCTTGCACGTTGGCGATAATCGCGCGTGAGGGACCACGCTGAAACCCATGACCATGATGTACGACACCAAGTCCACTTCTGCGCATGGCGCGCTGTATCCATTTATTTGTCGTCGAATATCGTGCTGTAGGCGAGGATCTGCGGCACCTGGCCCTCGGAAAACTGCAGCTGCGTCTGGGTGTGCAGCATGAGTCAGCAGCGCGTACGCGCACGACGACTAGACAGGTGCTCACGAATTTGAATGAGTCCTGCTCCTCGCTGATACCCCCGCCCCACAGCCGAGAGCATGATGCAACCCCATGATGATTTGTGCGCACCGTCTAGCAAGCCACGAGACTAGCCGTGCTAGAGCTGAAGAAGAGAAGTGGTATATACACGTCCCTGACTCGAAGCTGTGGAAGGATGATTGCTGAGAGTGCATCTGAGAAACCCCCAGATTCGACGATGCTTCGATAGACACCGCTTTAAATCTGGCGTCGCGAATCGAGGAGTACGGCTCTATTTCAATCAGCCAGTCGAGAAGACTGCTAATGGTGCCACTAGGGCAGTCCGTAGTCGTCAAATCGACGAGCCTTGTATTGTTCCATACTAAGGATGAGCCCCAATCTCCACTCACAGTGGATATTCTACAGCCCCTCAAACGGAGAGAAGAGATACGGGGGAATGCAGCAATGGTTCTCCGGAATGTCGTCAAGCTCCTGAAATTGCAGTCTTCCAGCGAAAGGGCGACAACGGACTTGAAGCGGGGGATCTGGGCCGCGAGATCGGGAGGCACCAGGTGGTCTCCCCAGTTGACGGAAGTAAAACTCAACGTATGGACGTGGGAGATGACTTTGGCGAGCATGAAAAGGGACGAATACACGTAGGACGATCGAAAGTGCTCGCTTGATCTGTCCTTTTCGACTAAATGCATCTCCCGCGTAAATTCAAGGTATGAAGCTTGTGCGGTGGCAGCAGTGGTGCGACCCAACTTTGCGAAAGAGAGCATCTTTGCGCGCGATGACAACCTGACGCTTCCGAAGAGATTATAGCGGCTTCTTGGAACCCAAGCGCGGCATGTCAAGCAGCAATTGCACAGGGCTTTCTGGTCTCCGTAAAGGTTATCTATGATCTGCTCGTAGATGTCCAGAGGGAATACGGACACTGAGCTGCACAATAACAGAGTTACACATATATATATCAGTAGTTGCACAAGTCCGGTTAAATACTTACTGTGAAGGAAACATCATTATGAATCTAGTTGAGATGCGAAGGAGAAGGACCTTTCACTGTGAGTTCTGACATCAAGTAGGAACGCGATGTCTCTTATGAGGTAGCTCAAACCGCACATTTCCAGGGTATCCACGAACTCCATACCCCAACGTCCGCCTATGTGGCTGAGCGCACCATTGAGATATACATTATCTTCACCATAGAGGTCAACACGGATAGAGGCAGTTTAGAAGCGATAGGATGTGGTGCTTGCTGTACAATAGCGGAGTGTCCGACCACTCATGAAGAGTTGAAACCAAGGACATCGACATGTCATACACTGATCCTCCACAGTTCAAGATATAAAGACACAGAAACATAGTATTAAAAGGCCACGTACACTTTCACGTACACGGTACAGCGTATTGTCCGTGTGTACAGAACCAACAATAGCGATACACCACCAGCTATCCGCACTAACCATGATCGGCGCGCCTTACGAGTTGTCTGCAAGCACTTGAATAAGTTATGCACGCCCGGTCAACGTTCCTTCGAGTGCCTTGGCTTTTGCCTCTACCCAATTCTCGAATCCCTTCGCGCCTGCTTCCACCATCGTCTCGAACTGTTTTGTACCGGCATCCACAAGCGCCTCGAACCGCGAGATCAATCCGCCGCCGGAAGAATGCAACTTATCCGGAAGCTGGTCCACACCGCTGATCCCGACGGTAATCTTACCGTGACGCGTTCCGATGACGCAGCAGTCCTCTCCCTCGCGCGGCAAGGCATAGTCGGAATGCGAGGAAGATGTGTCGATAGGTGAGGTAAGCGTGACTAGCACATCGCCGTCGGACGCACGCACCGTGCGGGCGCGCGACGCAAATTCTGGGAGGAAGTGGATGCCGCTTGGCCCTCCATGGCGGTGAAATGACACGACACCGGTGAAAGTGGGAGGTAAGAAGACGGCAATCTTGCCATGCCGCGTGGACACATCTAGATCAACACAGTGATCAGATTGGATCTCGTACTGTGAGGAAAATGCAGTCTAATTAATATAGAGCCCGAGGACAGAGACAAGCAGAGGGGCACCCACGAGATCGACGTTGATGCGCCCGTGGCGACTGGCCACCATTACCCGGCCGCGAGTCCTTTTGCTTTTCTGCTGCATGCCATCCGTGGTACCCGAGCCGACAATAGCCAGGTCGAGCTTGATGGCACCGTGTCGAGTCCTGAATGCTGCATTGACCTCGGGCATGCGAGTACGACGCTTGAGCCAACTGCGCTTGTCTTCACTCGCCGAGTCGTCCTGCTCTCCCGGCACAGCGCCGAAAGCGCGCCGGGTATTCCGAGCATGGTAGCGGTCAACAGAGCGATCGCGTGTGGTGGTCTTCCCGGTGGTGCGAGAGGAAAAAATATCCGCATTCAGTGACGCTGCTGGGAGCTTAGGGTCGACGAGATAAGAACCTCCAGTCGTCGTATTAGCTCTCACATACTGCTGGATAGAGGACCGCGTTACTCACCAGAAATGGCGTCATGCCTGGAAAAGAGAGATATGTGATTAACGCGCTGCCTGTTGGTGGCTCGAAACGCTTGCTGTGCCGCTGGTATAGTTGGGGCAGTAGATGGTGAAACAAATGGGGGAAGAGGTGACGCTGGTGGTGGTGATGGAGGTGGGAGGGGAGGAAGGGGAGGAGAGGAAGACAGAGGAGCCGATGAACCCTCTCCCAAGGACGAACTACGCGCATGTTGTTCGTAAGGCGGAGGCGCATCCGCATTCTGTTCGGACGTCTGCTAAGTTGGCAGAGTAAGCGATGGGCAGATTTACAACACACCTCCTCCTGACTGCCAAACCCCGAAAATTTCTTCTCCTCGATAGGTTCGGCGTGGGGGTCGAGGATGATCATAGTGGTGAGGTGGGATATCGAAACTCAAAGACAAGGACGCTGGTAGGATGTCAGGGGGGAATCGAATATCCGGGACGTTATATGGCACTGCGCACAACTTGCGCGCAGCATCAATGGAAGATCATAATGCATGGCACAGCCGCCTAGGCCATGATATCGGTCCCACCCCGGGGCACATGTGTCGCTCAGCGCGAATAGCCTGACAGACTGCGTAGGACAGCATCATGCTCAGTTTCGGCATATCTTACCATAGATGTGACTCGAGAGACAAAGGCCACGGCTCACAGCTCGAATTCCCGCGTGGGAAGAGCATCAACTACGTTATGAAGACTACAATCACAGATCGCAATCTCAACGCTGAACCCGCTGGACAAAGGCCTGCACACTGTGCACAGCCAATTTCGATTCATTGCTAGTAAATAATCTCTGGGCTACATTCTCTACACCGTGCAAACATCGGACTGTTACTACCGTAGTTGATCAGCACTAGGACAATACTATCCAAATTGACGTGCAGCACTCAGACCACGAATCTTCATCTTCACTCTTCATGGCAGCGAGTCAAGACCGCTAAATCCAACAGTGATTTTCCCATCATGAGTCCTGATCACGCAGCGGTCGCCACCATCCAGCAAACGATTAGACATAGTATCCGAACCCACTGCAAGTGACGCCGGGGTAGGTCTGGACAACACGACGAGCACTTCATGGTCGGATTCACGCACAACACGCGCACGCGAGGCAAACACGGGCAGGAAGGATACTTTGGAGCGTTTCCGTATGGCAAACGCAAGGGTGCCATCGAAGGTAGGGGGGAGCAAAGCATTAATGTCCCCAAAGCGTGTCGACACGTCCAAGTCGACACAGCAGTCGTGCTCGATATCGTACTGTGAACCCCGTCAGTGGCTAGGGATAGCGGATAGCGTGGTGATAGTGCTCACCATATTGACGTCAATCCGCCCATGACGGCTGGACAGCAACACACGTCCGCGCGTTTTCTTTGCTTCGTGTGAGATCGCGCTGGCAGCACCTGAATTGACGATGGCCAAGTCGAGGTTGATCATGCCGTGGCGCGTTCTGAAGGCAGCGTTGACAGGCGCAATGCGATCGCGGCAGGAATCTTTGTTCTTGTCGCAAGGTGAGTCGTCGTTGCCATGGGAAACTGAACCAAAAGCACGTCTGGAGTTGCGAGCGTGTGCACGCTCGACGGAGCGATCGCGCTTCTTTATCTCATATTCACACGGCTTCTCTGAGGGGAATATTCTTGTGTCCAAGGGTGTCTCAGGAATATTTGGGTCAACAAGAAACGTTCCTGTAGCGCGAGTTGGGCTTGAGCTTGAAGGACATGAAGGATATGCAAGAAACAAACCATAGACTGCTTCACGGCGAGAATACAATGACACATGGTTAATTGTACGAGGTTTCGCGTCTTCTGCCGCAGGTAGATATTGTGACGTGGGACTAGTGGGAAAGCCGCTGTTCAATGTGGACGGAGAACGCGACACAGAGGTCGGGACGGCCTGAACCATGTCCTTTCGAACACTAGAATGCCTGCTTTCGTAAGGCGGCGGCGCATCGCTGACCTGAATCCGAGCTCCAGTAAGTATATCTACGCCAGCTGAAAAGGTACTGTACATACCGGAGATTGCGCGATAGCCATGGACTCGGCCATTGACTTGGTGTCATCGCGGACAAGCATAATTCCAGAGCAATAGAGGTATCGGAAAGCGCAGGGGCAAGCTGCTACTAGGCAGAAGGCAGCGGCTAGGACGAATCAAGGACACTGATCTTCCCGTATTGCACTTACCCGTGTTATATAAGAAGCTTGACAGCACCGCGGCGCAGCACAGTGCTAAAGTTTGCAGCTGGATCGCTCTGCCGTAGTACGAATGTGCTCGGCTGCGCAATGCTGCAGCGGCCCTGAGAGTGGCCTATTTAGTTTCAACATATTTTGGCCACATGTTGAAAAGCTCAGTGATCATGAGCTCCGTCCAGGAGGGGTTGATGGAGGTACTAAGCGATCCTCAATGTCCAGAGCGTACCAGAAGAGTCACTGTCGTGTCAAGAATCTGTAGACAGATACCGAAGAAAGCTGCTTGGACGGAGCAAAAAGCCATCATTGTCGTTGTCTTGCTAGTGGTCTGCACTAGTCTGCATTGCACACATTGTAAACGCTGGCAATAGCGCCAGCGATGGGGCCGGAAGATTCCGTGGTAAACTTCCCACGATTTCCGCCTAGTCCTGCTTGAGCAAAACCGTTGGACGGTTATTACAGCATCTGCTTATTGCCCTCAATACACTGATTCTGCGAGGATTTGAACAAGTGGGACCTCGTTTATCGCGAGGTCACAATATTCGAAACCTGACACCGAGAGCTTTCTACCGAGGATACCACGCTCCATGCTGGGCATCTGTCGCTAATCTCTTACGGAGTTCACAAGGGCTAGCTACGTAGTACGGAATGCCAGGTATCGTCTCTCTCTATGCGCGATTGCTACTAAGATGGCCCTCGATTGCATGGGAAGAAGAGGTACGTTTGTGGTTGCGGTGGCATGTGAGCTAAATTCAGAACCCACGGACTGCTGTTTGTACTTGGTCTGGAAGACTTTATCAGAATGTGTCAAGCCTTTGCCTTGGATTGGATTCTTTCTTCAAACTCTGGGACATTACGCACAGGGTGACGAGAGAAATTTGCCTTATTCATCCCTGGACAATATGCTTTGCTCCACGTTTCCGTAGTCCTGCCAATCCCAGGCGCCAGTCTGAATTTGAAGACGGCTTTTTTTAGTGTCAAATCTGGAGAGCCTGAGACTAGACCACCTTTGGCGTTGAACCCGCCCGCGGCGCGTAAGTTATCTGATAGAACGTGGCGAAATTACGAAGTTTGTCCTCAGTGCATACGCTCAGCCGCCGAAGGGATTAGGCAGCCAACGGAACCAATGGGCGCGCATCAGGAGGGCTAACCACCTGTGTGGCATTGCATCGCATCAGGTGTATCTTTCCCTCGTCCGGGTGTGCACTAGAATCGGTTTGCGTGCGAAGGCACCATAAAGTGGAAATCCTGGACGCTCGACAAAGGACCCGGCTTCCAATCGCATGGTACCGCTTCACACGTCGCTTGTCGTTCATTCTCATACCTCCTCAGACATGCTGATCCCTCTGAGGTACGGGGACGCCCAGGGTATATAACCTGCCGTCCGCGCCAGCTCGAGCGCGATACACCTTATCCGCAAAACATGCCTGTTCCCCTGATCAAAGAGAGCGACGTCGACGTCCTCATCATCGGCGCCGGCCCTGCGGGGCTGATGTGTGCTATGGCGCTTTCGCATGCCGGGGTAAATGTGCGGATCATCGACCAGCGGTGAGTCGAGGCCTGATCGTCGTCTTCCGTCGTGCCTCTCAATCTCCCTGCCTCGAACTCAAGGGCTGTAAACCTAGCAGCAGGCCAGGCCGATGGCATTCAGCCTCGTATCATCGAGGTCTTTCAGGTGACGATGGTCGATGTCAGCGACTTTGATGGCTTCCTGATGTCATTATTTACGTCTTTGCAGAGTTACGGTCTTGCAAGCCGTCTCTTCAAAGAAGCGGTCCAGGTGCACATGGCGGTGCGTATTCCGTACTATTATGTAGCTTTCTACATCCAGTCTGAGCGATGCATACATATAGGCCTTCTACAATCCGAGTCCTAATGGAGGGATTGAAGTAAGATCTTCGTTGAGCAGGGATGACCGCACTTAACTCCGACATTGTGATGTAACAGCGGACAGATCGTGCCGCCGATGTTACGGCACCGACCGCACGCTATGCCTTTGAAGTGAGTATTTTTGGCTGATGCTATTCCAATGCAAGGTGATTGACAATAAAGGAATTATAGATGGCTCTGCACCAGGGTGGCATAGAGCAGATATTTCTGGATTCCATGGCTACAAAGGGTGTCCATGTAGAGAGACCTCTCATGCCGACCTCTATCGAGCTCTCGCAGGACGAGGCGGTTCTCAAGGATCCCACGTCACATCCCGCAAAGGTATATACATGGTTTAACTGTATTACCTGTCCACTCAAAAGAGACTGTATATTTTTGGCAGGTGGTACTTAAACGCCTGGATGTATCAGAAGGCAAACCAGATACAGAGATCGTTTATGCTAAATACGTCGTCGGGTGCGATGGTATGTTATGATTATCCCATGACCTATCTATAGCTTAACGATGCACGCTCAGGTGCTCATTCTTGGATTCGTAAGGAGTTCAATATCACCATGGAAGGCGAACAGACAGGTTAGTATGTGTTTGAAGTTTATCCATTCAGTGTGCTGTGACTATATGCATCGACTTCAGATTATATCTGGGGCGTTCTTGATCTCATACCAGACACTGACTTCCCGGACATCCGCAACCGCTGCGCCATCCACTCCCATAATGGCTCGTGTATGATCATTCCCCGAGAAGGCGACATGGTGCGTCTGTACATCCAACTGGCGGACAAGGACGTCGTCGACTCCAAAGGAAGAGTGGACAAGAGTAAAGTGGGACCGGAGAAGATTATGGAGGTGGCCAATAAATCCCTCTACCCATACACAATATCAACCTCGCATCCAATTGACTGGTGGACTCTGTACATCAGTGCGTAGTGCTGCCTTGGATGCGCCGACTATGTGATTAATTGTCTGTCAGTTGGACAGCGAGTTGCTAATCGTTATTCAGTTCATGAACGTGTCCTGATCGCAGGAGATGCATGTCATACACACTCACCTAAAGCAGGTATGTTCAATAGACTGTCTGAAGTTGTCAATATGTAATAACAATATATAATTCAGGTCAAGGAATGAATGCTAGCATGAACGATACTCACAACTTAGGTTAGTGTTTGGTCTATGCACGCGCGCTCTTTCTAATCTATCTATGTCGTGCAGCGTGGAAGCTCGCACATGTTCTGCGCGGATGGGCCGATATCTCATTGTTGAAGACGGTGAGTGCGCCAGGTCGATTGTCCTTGTCATAAACACTCAAGCCTTTGTATAGTATGAGTCTGAACGGCGGAAGTATGCCCAAGAGTTAATCGAATTCGACAAACGGTTCGCAGCTCTCTTCTCCGGCAAGCCTCGCACGGAGGGTAATGACGAGGGGGTTTCACATGAGGAGTTCTTGGGGTACGATCCTTCGATTCGTACTGCTTTGGACGACGTCTCATTTCGCATCCCATCAATTTTATAGGACATTCCAAACATTCGGCCTCTTCACCAGCGGCATCGGCGTGCACTACCAACCATCGGCCATAGTCCACACGCAGCATCAATCCTTCGCAAGCAAACTGATCATCGGCCAACGAATGCTTCCCCATATCTTCATTCGTGCAGCTGACAGCCAGCCAGTGGAGCTGCATGATCTCATTCCATCCGACACTCGGTTCAAGGTCCTCGTCTTCACCGGCGATACCACAGACACCACACAATTGGATCACGTTCGAGCATTGGCCGAAGACATGAATGGTCCACAACGGTTTTTGAAGAAGTTTGGGCACGGAAATACCAGCGGCGTCTTTGAAGTTCTCTCTATTAGTTCCGCCAAGAAACGTTATTCGAACTACACCGATGTCCCGCCATTGTTCAGGTCGCATTGGTCCAAGTACGTTGTCTGCTCGATGGTGCCTCAGCTATCTTGTTGAACTGGTTTCCAGGTTCCTGTTGGATGATTGCGACATGTACAATCGAAGTGGTGGTGGAGGGTATGAGGCCTATGGTATCGACCCCCGCGGTGCTGTTGTGATTGTGCGGCCTGACGGTTATGTCGGAATGGTGGCGCCCTTCGACAACCTCGACGACCTAGATGAATACTTCGCAGCCTTCATGGTTCCCACCCCACCATCTGCTTAACGCAAGGTTCAAGTCATCTGTTTTGGGCATTCCTGTACGCTACCTAGAAGATACTATTCAGATTGTATAATACACACGTGCGACAACAATGAGGGAAGTTTACAAGAGCGTATAGCGAGCCATGGGGCCTGATATCTGATATAAACAGCTTGTATGCATGAGAAACGAACACGATGGCGACAACCAAATCAGAGGGTCTGGTTCTCAACCTTTCCACGCTGGCCCCACAGGCGCTGCTTCCACACTATCAATGGGAACGCGCCTCGCCCCACCTTTCCCCGGAGGCAGCTTGCCGGGAACTCTCGACCTGGTGAAGGGCTTTGGGGGCGCTTTGACCGACTTCTTCTCCAGGCGTTCCGCTGCCTGTGAAGTCGGAGCCAGCGCTGCCGCTGCACCCGTCGAGAGCTTGGCTCGCTTCACATTCTCCTTCTCCATCGGGACAGCTGGGCGTGTACGGGGGACAGCAGTGGGCACTGCCTTTGCCTTGCCTTTATCCTTAGCTGGCAGCCTTGCTCCTGCCACTGGCTTACTAATTTTCACCGCGTTTGGCTCGACCTTCTTCTCCCGCAGCGGACTTTCATCATCGTCGGAGACGCCTAGCTCTTGGGCGAGGCTCTTTCCAGGAGCCGCTGACGCAAAGTCCAGTGGCGCAGGGGTGGGTGAAATGTTAGGACTTTCATCCTCGTCATCTTCCTTCACAGAGTCCAGTGAGGGCCGTCCTGAATCGGAGCTCTCTGGAGAGTCGGCAAGCATCAATATCCTGCTGAGAGGACTGGGTTTGACAGGGGAGTATGCATGAATCATATGAGTTGCGAAAGGCTTCGCCATGGGGAACGGTCGACGCGGGGTGCAAGGAACCTGCAGTGATTGCGACCCAGATGAAGGTCCAGATGCGACTTCGGGTGCGCTTTGTGACGCTCGGACAGACTCTGAAGCCTGGTGCTGTACAGTGCTCAGGTCGCTATCTGACTTCGAAATGCTGATTACAGGCACGACAGGTACCGAAAGGGTGGATGGAGTGGTATCTGTTGGGGGTATCTCGAACGCTGCTGGAAGCGGGGGTATAAGAGAAGAAGAAAGTCGACTTTGCTGTGGGAATGATGCAGCAGGGGATGGTGGTGGCAGGACGAACACAGGCGCAGCGACATGCGGCTGTGGCTGCGGTTGGATTATGCTAGTTCTGAATGCAGGTAAAGGAAACGAAGGCGAAGGTATGACCTCCGTCTCAAACGGAGGGATTACTTTCTTAGGCGACGAAGACGGAAGTCCTAGTCCTAAACCTGAAGAACGTCGAGGTATCCGAACCTTTTTGCCGTTGCTCGCTTTCCCAACGGCCCTCGCTTTGTGTGGAGACTTGCGGGGAGACTTGCGAGACGAGATCTGGATTAAATCATCTTGGTCACACAGAGGCTGCGTCAATGGCGCTGCTGACGGCTGTACAGGTGTAGGTGGCAACTCTGCTAGCATTGCCTCAACTTGCCATGAACGTTTCTCTTCCAGAAATTTGATGCGTTCAGCCTAGACATGTGAATGATATTAATGATGGACTTGTTGTAGTCCTAAGTGTATTTATGCATACCTCTAGCACAGCCTTCTCTCGCCCAAGCCTGACTGCGGCTTCTGTAAACTTTTGACGTTCCTCCTCAAGCTGTTTGAACCGGGCATCCAATCGCTGCTTCTCTTCATCACATGCTGGCCCAGTCATCAGATCAACGCTCACTTCCCCTGCTTCGCCTTGCAACAGCCGCTCGTCGGCAGCAAAACGATCAAATAATGCCTGAGTTTGCGAGGCATATGCTGAAGCCTGTTTCTGCGCTTCATCTAGCAATGTCTCAGGAGAATACCTGTAGCTTAGAGATTATTACATACCAAGTTCCGTTCGTAAAGTATCAATTATTGCTTGCAAACGTTCCAGTTCGGCCTTATCGTTCGCCTTTTTTTGAGTCTTATTGTCAGTGGAAGTCGATGGACCTGGCTCCGCACTCGGATTGGAAAGGCGCGCAACTGACTCCCGAAGGGAACTGAGAAGTGACGGCACTTTATCACAGGTTGCTTGCGCGGGCGACAGCGGGAAGAGCATGGCGAGGGTGAGCGGAGCAGGCTACACCGGTATTAACACAAACGTAGTACGATGGGGTAGTAATACACGAACCTCTTCATAACTTTCGTGGACTGGCAATGGCGTAGTGACATTACGTACCATGTGTAGTACGCTCTGGATCTCATTTGCTGTTGATAGAATCAGACCCCGCAGTTTTCGATTCTGGTCAAATAGATCTTTGCGTGCCTGCTCCGCCTGTTCTAGTGCCAGGTCCAGAAACCCTTGACCCTTGCCACGCATTTCCACGTCTGGAGCATCCAATACATCCGCGTTGGCGCACCGAAGCGCGCTGCTGGTAGACCCAAGTCTAATCTGAGCATCAGCGATCTTGCTCCACCGTTCTACCATACGATCCTTCTCCTTCTCTAATTTCTTCAGCTCCGTTTGATGAGCGTTCCGAAGAGCTTGTAGGGTCGTACGGCTGCGCTGTAGCTCGGATGTTGTATGTTTATGCGCAGTCTCAGTGGACTGTAGGGTCCGTGTGACAGCACTAGTACACTTCAGCAATCACGGAAGACTGTCCGACGAACGAACGCACGCTAAACGGGATTTGTGTACGTTCATCTCCCTCTCTGCATTTGCGGCCCTATCTGTCGCCGCTTTGTGCATCGATACCATCCGTTCGTGATCATACGACAGAGTTCGTATCTTTGTCGATAATTCTTCTGTGCGCGACATGTCATCCTATGGCATATTCGGGACGGATCCATGGCTGCAAAAGTCCAAAGGACTTACTACTCTCTGGCTGAGCATGCCAAGTAGGCACTTTATTATACGATCCGAGTCATCTTTCGAGAGTCCTTCCAGCGAGAGACCCGGTGAATGTGTGAATCCATGCGCAATGAGCTGGGAATTGATGTACTGGAGACTCGAAGTAGAATTTGATTCAGTCGACGTTGTATCGGAAAAAGGAGAGCCAAAGCCAGAAAACGATACATCAAGAGCCCAGTGAACAAGTTTCTTTGGAGTAGCAGCCATCAGAAGGCAATTTCGATGTGGAGGAATTCCAGCGCTGCGCTAGCCTGGAATGCCACAGGTTGAATGAAGTTCGAGTTGCAAGCGCGACGCGACGCGATGCGTCTTTATCACGTGGAGCGCGATTGGGTGAACAGGTCCGTGAACGTTTGAACTTTGACGTTCAACATTCAATTAAGTTCACTCTTGAGACAAAGAATTCAAATTGAAACAATAAACCCATCACGCGAACTTCTATATCGCCTCCTCCAATGACCTTAATGTATTTTGAACCCAAGCAACTACATTGCAACACACATCTCATAGAAACATAAAGTAGATTGTTCTGGCAAGTCAATCGTCCAAGATCAAGTAAAATGAGAGATATGTCAACTCAGAGATCTGAGAAATATGTCCAATTGTGTCCAAGCATTGCCGCGTTTATCCCAAGACCGCCGAAATTGTTCTTGAAGTTTGACGACATTTTTCCGTTTGCGCTTCCCATCTTCCCCGAAGGCTCTTCTGAGAATAGATTTAATCTCATATCGCACCGCTTCCACAGTCCCATCTGGTGCTTTTCCAAGCCTGTGTACTCGCTTCAGGCCTGCACTGCTACGAATCTGGAAGAGCTCAAATGCGACGTCAAGGGTATGCGAAAGTCGAGCGGCGTTCATTGGTTGATCGAATGCAAATGGCCAACAGATCCTAGATTACACATTTTGAATATTAGAAGGCAGCTGATGAAATATGAACGGGGATATTTCAACACACATTGGTACACCCTCCCAGATTGCTTCTATGACATTTTCGTGATCTGCGTGCGTCACGTACCAAGCGGTCACCTATGGTGATCGCAGAAATTTGTTAGATAGCTATTCATGTTTACGATCCTTTTTGGCTCACCGGATGTCTTAGAATAAGTCGTTGGAGAGGCTTTCGTGTCAGTAAAGCCTTGTCATAACTACGAACCTTCTGGATGACAGTGGCGGATAGTGGAAAATAAGGAGAGGTATGGCCGAGGATCTGATGGGTAAAAGTAACATTGAAAAAAGAGAACGATGCGATGGAAAAGTACTCACATACGGCAACCCACGCTCCATCACGGCCTCCAGTATTGCTATGAATTTATCTACTTCACGCGGCCAATGAACTGATCCAAAATAGAACTGTGTTACAGTCCTAAACGCGTATACTTCTAGGAAAAGATCCAAACAACTTACATAAAGAAGAGAACGTGTACCACACCTTTCTTGACTCGATTCGAGAAATTGTCTAATCCGATATGTTTCTACCACTTCATCTGTCTGCTGCGGCTGTGAAATGAGTGGACCGCAAGCGTATACGCCGCAAGATGTCTCTTCAAACCAGCTTCTGAGAGCTGCTGTTGCTTCTGCTTCGTAATCTTCGGGTGTGGCCAAGATAAGACCGTCGCACAATTTGAGGACGCTACAACAAACGAGAAGCTCAGAAAGTTCGAAGAGGACGCCGGTACCGCATGCCTACCACATACTCATGCGCCACGAGCATTAATTCTCCAACCTGGCTCTCGGTACCAATGAGCTACACATCCATACTTTCAGCAACCACGCTGTAGGGCATGAGAGCTGAAGCCAGACCTTCTGGGGCTGACACTCGTGGTCATATATAAGAGGTAGTCCGGGTATATAAATTAAACAGTCGGTATTCCCTAGTGATATCTGAAGAAATCCCATCAATTTGCTCCTGGACGCTCGACTGATTCAACTTACTAGTCCAGCAGCCTCTTCTATCGACGATTTAATCAGGCCGGCCTGGTAGCTGCTCTTAGCGCGAAGATCACCAATACCACCAATGGTGCTGGGTCCGCCGATGCGAAACAGGATAGATGCTGCACCTGCAAACCAAGCGAAAACTTTAATGCGTTCATGACTCACTCTCCGGACAGTTTCTAATGGTGTACGGCCGTATAACTTCGTGGGGTTGAGTTCAAGGTAGGTGATTAGCAGGTTGGGACGTGAAATCAGGATCGCGAGCTCACATCTACGACTACGGCAGCGGGGATAAGATCGGTGCAGTGTTGAACGCCAGTATGCATGCATTCCACGGGCTCTCCGTTCACAAGCTTTTCATATGCGATCCCAAACGCAGCATCCAGGTTGCCCCGACCCAATGGAAGACTTCCATCTTCAACAAGCGAGATGACTCTAGATCCATATGAGTAAGATCATCAATATATCTGTTGATGACGTACACGATTTTATCGAGTAGGTGGATGTCGCGCTCCTCGAAACACTGTCGTAGCTCGTTCGTGATGCGAGAGTAGAGCTTTTCCGTCGTGAAGAATGTGATGTAAACTGAGCGCAGCTTCGTCATATGTGCGGCCAAAATACACAATGGACGCGTATGCCCTATTTAGCATATCGTTAGCATGGAATACGTGCCACTACAGCTAAACACCAAACCCCAAGAGTCATATGGAAATAGAACAATATGTAAGACTTTGCGAAAGGAACTGCAGATTGTACCCATAGATAAAACGGGCTGGTAGAAAGGTAGATCAGAGGAGGAAGAGAGATACGCTGGCAGTCGCTCTTCATATCTTCCATGGCGACTGGCACGCCCCGGACACATGGCAAAGAGAATCGCCATCCTCGACTATCTATCAGACTAAGGGGAGGGAAGCTGGGCCTTCGGTATTACCTTTCGAAAAATCGAGGCTTGCGATATCGTCCTTCGGGACATTCCGAAAAAGTACACGCAGATCTGTGAGCCATGCTAACGAGCCGACATGAGGATTCGTCAAGCATTGCACCCTTCTTTGACATAGCGGTCAATCCAAAGAGACTGTCTGTACCTTTATGGGGGACCACTGGATACCTCAAGACCTGCGACTTATGCATGATGAATATTCAATGCTCCATGGTAGCAGCCTTGCTGGACACTGCCGCATGCCCTTTGCGAAGTCACGATAAGTCACTGATGTCCCTGGTCAGCCGGCTAGAGCTGGAAACGTGAGAACAAGAGTCACAGACATTCCCTCGAGAGTACTTGCCAGGCATTTCATTCACCTATTTTTCAATGATTGCACGCCCATCTATCAGTGCTTAACGATACCATATTCATGTGCATTTCAATTGGTAGACATTAGTTAAAGTTAAAAAGATCCGTAGACAGCCGGCGCCGCTATACTTCTCTAATGCCTAGGCGGGTCGCGACTGACATGGACTGGATGAGGATTGAAGGATAGCAAGACAGCAGACATTGCACCAGCACCTGAAAGACACCAGCTTGAAGCAAAGTTGCAGCAAGTATTTAGTATACATTGAGAGCCGTAGCCGTGAGATATTGGAAAACAGTGAGAACTCGGGGTAAAGGTGAATGACGGACGACGGACCATTGACGACCGGCGTCGGACTGAGTTGCCCGGGCTTTGAATGAACACGGTCACCTGACCGCGAGAGTGATCTCATTCACTGGCTTGCTCCACGCGCTCACTCGCCGAGAATAGACACTGCGGTTGCCCACGTCCATACTTTTGCGTGTCATGCCTCCCTGCTTCCTTTCACTACAACCATCATCACCTCCTAGACCTCCTTGATGTCGCAGGAACAAAATCCTCAGCTGTTGAACTCTATAGTTCAGCAGTTTTTGAATGAGGGGAAGCGTTTCCTTGTGCTCACCGCACAGGCGATCGTCTCTCTGGCATGGCTCTGGCCCCTGAGGGGTATCTACTTCTCAATTTCCAGTACGTGTACTAACATTTTCCTGCTTCCAGTAAGTGCTTTGACACCGCCATCTGACCTGCTAGATCCAAGTGTGATTATGTCAGTTCGTGCCGCTTTGATGAAGGCACTGCTGACCTCCGCCATAATATTCGGAGCACTCGCCTTCTTCACTTACATCCCCCAAATGGGCGTTCTGGCCTTGTTCTCTGGGCCGCTCGCCCCTATCCTGGCCCTCTTCCTCGTTGGTGCCGAGTCCGCGCTGGTTGTCGCCTTCTTCGCTCGTCCACTCTTCCTTGACCTGGCGTTGTCCCACGTGTTCGACGCGACCCTTCGTGCGCGCGGTCAGGGAGAGCTCGTTAAGACAGGAAAGACGCGCACACCCAGTGCCGCGAGGGGAGCTGCATCGAACGTGGAGAGCGCTTTGGTGAAGCCGTTGCAAGCACTCTCCAGAGATGGTTTAGTGCGCTACCTAGTTACACTTCCACTTAACTTCGTGCCGATCGCGGGGACGGTGTTGTTTGTTATGTACAACGGCTATCGCGGCGGGCCAAGCTGGCATTCAAGGTATTTCCAACTGAAAGGGTTCTCGAAGAATCAACGCGCAGCATTCGTTCGACGCAAACAAGGAGAGTACGCTGCGTACGTATAACCGCATGCTGCTTGACTTCTGCCTTTACTGATAAATTCTGTAGGTTTGGCACTGTCACCCTCTTATGTACCTTTATACCCTTCGTCGGTCTGCTCTTCAGCTTCACAAACACTGTCGGCGCAGCCATGTGGGCTGCTCACCTCGAAGCACAAGCAAATTTAATCGATACGCCCACACAGTCTAGACTGACGGAGATGACGGGACAGACAGTCGAGCAGGCGGAAACGACTAAAGAGCAACCAATAAAATCTAGCGGACCAAGGGCACAAATTAGCGGGACAAAATCTAAGTGATGTCTCGGCGGCATCTACCACAAAAGAACATCATCATTGTAGTAGCTGAGACTGCGATCGTGAATCATACCTCATGTCTCGTAGTGTAGCAATAGTTTCGTACTCTTTCACTAGCACGCTAGTATGTACCGGATACAAGGGCTGTAACTCATTATGCGGACCTTAAAGCCAGACAAATAACACAACGCACACAACACAAATGGTATAGATGTCGAGGACCGGACGTGAGTACAGCAAACAAACGCGTCCTGGAGAATGGCGAAAGTGCGATAAATAGCAGATGGACCATTACTTTCACGATCCTCGTGAAAGGAATAGCCCATCAGCTGTAGCATCGCACTACCAAGCGAAGCCAGTATGCGGGTCGGAATCCGAGCAAAATGTCTTCGGATCAGATATCTGAATGAACAGGAGAATGAGAAACGAGGAGCAACTTGAAGTATCAGTGCAAACTCGAGCTCCTTTATACTCGCTCGACGCCCCCACCTCACCTATTGATCTGTGATATACCCTTGTAAAACTCGGGGTACCCAATTGCCGGTCGTGAAGGACCCGCAGGCCAAAGCGTTCGACTTTTTTTGTGATCCCTTTACTTATTGTACGTCCGCGAGGACCGAGCCCTATGTAGACAGTAAATATATCGTGTATAACTAGCCCAGTATGTCAATCACATTCGAAACATAAGCATTATGGACACGGTCCGGCCAGGGCGTTGCTGGGCGTACGGTCTTCTCTAGCCCGGATGTCACTTCTCCCTGATGAGATCGCCAAACGCTTGGTGGAATCGGCGCGTGGCGTGCACGTATTGCATGAGCGGGCGCACCGCCCCCCGGGCAGGACTGGAGGGTGCGGAGCGAGCTTGGCCCTCGTCCCAATTTGCGTCGAAGGTCGGCACGCTGTGTTCGATAGGACGGGCATTCCAGGAGGTGATGTCGAACGGTTTCAGGCGGCCCATGGCAGGTCGGGCAGCGGTCCGAGTCGGCTTTGTGGATTCGGTGCAGGTGGTGTTGTAGCTAGTAGAGGCAAGCGTTCAACTTGACGAGCACACGTCGTACTAAATTTGTCGCACATGCGAAACGTTGTGAAAAGCCGTGCACAGGGTCCTCGCTTTGGCCAACATGGCCCCGGGGCCCTTCGGTGGAGGCACTGGAGAGAGACCTGAAAGAAAGCGGCAACTGCCACAAGTATTGTGGCGTGCCGTCAAAGCGACCCTCGTCAGCTCACTATCCACGCTCCTGTGTCTACTTGATCTTGCTTAGTTTCCTCGTACTTTTGCGTTGATGGCTATGCTAAGTCAGTGCATCCCGACTCTGTCTGTCCACTGTCGGTTCTTCTGCTCGTGGCTCTGGTATTCGATGAAGTTTTGTTTTGTTCCCTGTTTGTTCTCAAACCCTAAGCGCAACAGCCTGAGGTCAACTTACGTCAATCCAGGTCCATGACTCAAGCGCCGGCCACGATACCGCGCATTCTTGGCTATTCGGATCTTTTGCTTTGACCGATGCCCACAGTCTTAAACGTTCTTCAAGACACCTATACTCGCTGAAAATACTTCGAGTTTTTCGGAACCATGCCTATTGTTTTGACGGAAACAGCACTGGCCTATATGTTGCAACGGTGGGTGTTACCATCGACAGAAGGTACGTCGTGCACAGACCTGTATAAAAGTCGCGTAGCTGACGTTCGCCGTGCAGATACCAACGAAACAACCTCTGAAAGTCGTCTTGGACACATTCCGCCTCTGCCCTTCGAGGTACATGACTACATTCTAGACCACCTGTGGGACGACCATCGCACACTGAAGATATGCAGCCTAACCTGGCGTGCGTGGCTTCCCACTACACGATTTCATCTGTTTGGAAGCATTCATATCCGCTCCTCTCGCGACTGTCAGCGTTTCACTAGGCTCCTGAGTACTCCAATGCTTGGTGCCGAGCTCAAAAACTATGTACGAGGTGTCGTACTCCAGGATTTCCCCTTCCGCGACTTGGATCTGTCCCGAATCCGTGACGCATTTTCCACGCTCTATAAGGTCAACCATCTCACACTTTCTTATTGGCCCTGCAACGACATTATCGCGGACGACATCATTGAGTGCTTGTGCAAAGGTTTCCCACACATCCAAGCGCTGATTTTCTTGGAAATGGAATTCAAAGACTACTCCAACATGTTCACATTGCTTCATTCATTTTCAAAACTCAATCGCATCCGCATCTCGGACCAGAAGCTTTTCTTTCGGAGGTTGGATATGAATTTTCCTGTTGATATTAATATCTCGGGTACGGACCTCCTGGAGCAAGCCGATGAGTCTGCAGGTGAGAGTGTCGCTTCCATTTCCGCGGAGGGCAGCCAAGTCCAAGTCCGTGAGAAAATTCAAGTGCAACATCTTGAGTTGGAAATCAGCACACACAATGCAGTTGTTGGCTCATGGTTTCTGAAAGATCCCAATCGCGCACCTTTCCTAAATTCGCTGGAATTATTTTGGGTGGAAGAGCCTGAGAGTAACGAGTACAGCTGGATTGCCAAGGAGTTACTCAAGTCAGCGACCAATCTGGAAAGACTTAGGTTAAACTCCCTGTCGATTTGGGATTCGGGTCACGGTAAGTGCGTGTTCTCGTGTACTCCTTACGGCATGTTAACATGGTGATCTTTGTAGCGAATCTCATTGAGGGTATCAACCATTTGCGTACGGACAAGCTTCGAAGCATTGTTTTTGGACCTGTGCGTGCAGACTTTTGTTTTACGGATTTGCTATTCTGGGGAGACAACTTGATGTGGATCCCATGTCTTCTCATGCATTGCGCGAACTCGTCGAAGCAGCTGGAGAAGGTTCAGCTTGAGATAACTGTAGATTCCAGTTTCCAAGAGTTGAACGTATTGCCGTGGGTCCACATAGACAATGCTCTCGCTGCCTTGGTGTCCAATCTTCCTCATTTGGCCATCTCGATCGACATTACTCCTATATCCTCTCGATCACAAATCCTCAATGCCACCGAGGACAGCGTCAAATGTGACATCGTGGATAGGATGCCCTTCTTTTCCCAAACGTACGCCACCATCGGTACGATCTCTTGGAGGACTGCGCGTTGCACAAGTGGCAGTGGTGATAGCTTTCAGATTTATACGGTCCTCAATGAGGGGTTGCGCTATACGAAATTTGACTCGTAAAGCAGCGCACGAGCTTACACTCATTCAAGCGGTGAATATATGAGCTGCCGATACTTGTCCTTGAATCTTTAATTCAAAATAATGAGCTTCTATGCCCTAGTGCGCGTGCTCTAACTTGCATACTGCACCGTACTATGTCGTCATCCGCTGGTACTTAGAGAATGCCTCCCTAGTACCTTTTGGCCTCCCAAACTCGCTCTGCGCCGTGCCCCGGCCACTTTGTCACGCGCGCGTCAAGTACTGGCAAATCGACCACCACGAATGAACAAATAATTCCTGTAGGACGGCAAAAGTGCAATGTATGGTAGATGGGCCGGTCATTTCACGACTTCCGTGAAAGGAACAGCCCGTCAACCATGGCATTGCACCACCAGGCCAAGCTAGTGTATGAATCAGTGACTCGAGCAGTTGGATGACTGGCTATCTCGATAGGAGAACAGGGAAGCGGGGAACAGGGAACTAGCACTGAGATGAGCATAATTTCGAGCTCCTTTATACTCGCTTGACATGCCGCCACCTTGTCCCGTTGACTTGTGGTATGACCTTATGAACCTTTCTGGGTTCCGGTTGTCGGTTGCTAGGCACCTGCGGGCCAAAGCGTACTTGGGGCGCATGCAGTGTTGTTTGTTGTCGAGGTATACGTTCCTGCCGGGGCCTACTTGCTTTCGCGTTATTTGCTCGTGCCCTAAGTTGATTGCTATGCTAGGGCGGCCTACGCAGCCCAATTTCGTTTGCACACTGCCATTTACCTTCTCGTGGGACTCTGGTATTTGACAGGAGTTTCTGTCCAGCCGTCTCGCCATACTCAAGCGCAGACGGGGGCCAGTTGACCTCAATCTGGGCTCATGACTCGGAGTGTCGGCCACAGTCATGCGTTGTAAGAGGCTCGAACTTCATCGCCTTGGTCAGGCCACATTAGAGCGCCCGGGGAAAGCAAATGAACCTGCAGGCGAGAATTTTGCCTCCTCTATTACAGCAGACGGCCCAGCCCAAGCTGGCAAGAGTCGGGCGAGAGACCCAAGTTGCAACATCTTGCCCTTAGCGCCAGTGCGCATGCCGCAGTCGTTGGCTCCTGATTTCTGAAGAATTCTAGCCGTCTCCTCCCAGATTTGCTTGAATTATGTTGGGTGGGAGGGGTCAAGGAGCCGCTCAAATCAGCAACCCATTTGGAAAACCTTATGCTAGGCACTCCGATGCGCATCTTTGGGGTTTAGGTCACGGCAAGTGCGCATTCTCATGCGTCTCTTAATCGCATTGAGCATGGCGATTTGTGTAGCGAATTTATGAAAAGTAGCAGCTATTCATGTATGGACAAGCTTCGAAGCGTCGTCGTTGGGTCTGTGTAGACGGATCTCTTCGTGCATCAGAAATTTTAGGGTTATGAGACGGTGTGGATTCTTGGTCTTTTCAAGCAGCTTTGCATGAGCTCATCAAAGCAGCTGGAGACGGTTCAGATTCAGATATTCTGCTACTCAAAGTTTTATGAGCTGGGTACACTTCCGTGGGATTATATGGACAACGCTCTTGCCGCCTTAACATCTATGTTTCCGCACTTGGCCGTCTTGATCGACATTACGCCTTTGTCTTCTCGGATACAACTAATCAACCACTCCACTCACGACGATGTCTTTCGCGACGTCTCGTCCAAATCATTTCCTCTTGTTCAGAACGCATGCAAGAATTGGCTGGAAGGTTGTTTCGAACCGCGCTCGCCTTCGGGTTTATACATACGGTCGTCAAGTGTCGCGCTCCATGGTTATTGGCGTGTAGAACAGAGTGTGAAGTCTATCGTTTTATATTCAGTACTATAGGTTCGTTCGAGCGATGTATATACGGTCGCTAAAAACATGTCTCCGAGCTTTATGCTACTTCGGTACACGTTTGGACTGCATACACATTATCGCGACAATTAGTAGTAATGAACGCTCGCGTCTTGTGATACAAAGTATCGTGTCAAGAAGAAGGCTCGACCAACACTCAATGTTCCAGTCTCGAGTATCTTGGGCGTAGTCACTGTTAATTAAGTCTACCTCACAGTCCCATCTTGATTCCTTGCGAGTCGGCGCGAGCCTACTGAGGCGCTCACGTGAGCGCGTCAGTTAGGTTGGCGGCAACATCCGAAGAACTACGCAGTTGTTCCCAAGCCACCGATCCCATCGTGCTTAGTGGTGGATTAACGTATCGAGTCCGTAGGCAGGACCAGCGACAAGACAAACACCCGACAAGATGGTCAGTACATATTCTTGTTCACCGTAGAAGTCGTCGGCTGAGACAAAGATGCTGTTCAGGCCGACCAGAAGACCGCGCCCACGAACCCCATGAAAGAGCTTCGCATCGACAAGCTCGTTATCAGTGCGTCTTGCCCTCATGGAATCTCTCTACCCGCTCATGGTTCCTCTGCTGTTTACAGACATTTCCGTCGGTGAATCTGGTGATCGTTTGACGCGAGCTTCCAAGGTGCTCGAGCAACTTACTGGCCAGACACCCGTCACCTCCAAGGCGCGCTATACCGTCCGTACCTTCGGTATCCGTCGTAACGAAAAGATCGCGGTGCATGTCACCATCCGAGGGCCGAAGGCGGAGGAGATCCTTGAGCGTGGGCTGAAGGTGAAGGAGTATGAGCTCCGCCGCAGGAACTTCTCGGAGACCGGCAACTTTGGCTTCGGTATCCAGGAGCATATTGATCTCGGTGCGCGATATGACCCGGGCATTGGTATCTTCGGAATGGACTTCTACGTCGTAATGGGTCGACCAGGAGCACGTGTGGCGCGGAGGAAACAGAAGAAGGCGCGGATTGGCTTCCAACATCGGGTTAAGAAGGAGGACACGATGGCGTGGTTCAAGCAGCGATTCGATGGTATCATTCTGGTATGTGCCTCCTTTTGTGGGCCACAATTATCACTCATTCCAATCCTACAGGCCAAGTAGAGGTTTTCATATTCATCATTCGTATGTCGTTGCATTATTACTATGACCTACTACTCGCCATGTATCACATGCACGCAAAACACCCACCATCAGACCATCATGAGATGATTCTCCGGTTTGTTGAGCCTATGCTCACTGTTCACCCCATTGTCAACGTATAAGAACATCTGCTTAGGATGATAGAAGGGTGGCTTGGCAAATTTGCGCGTTCAGGCTGGTCTTTGGCTCGCCTTTTGCAGTCGCAATTGATGTCAATCTTTGTTCCGGCTGATATGGCTGTTTCAAATCGTGACTTTTTATCTCATTTGGCGTCCGTGGACGACGGTCCGGCTACAAGATTACAATGCGCTAATTCATGTCCAGAATATATCATTTTCCTGAGGGCATGTCACTTCTAGCCGTTCTTCCCCTAAGAGCTCTCGTGCATGCTCTAACCTGTTCTTGATGTCCTCCACCACGTCTGCGCGCACCAAGACCTCATCCAAGCAGCTCGTAACGACAATAGATAATGTGAACCCCATAAACTGTTCTGCTAGCGCTGAGAGCTGGGCGTCGATGTCCCTCCAACTGAGAACACCGAGGCTATCGAGTCCCGCGATGTTAAGAGATAATTTAATTTGTTGAATATTTGTCGAGTTGTTCTGTAACGATCTAAGCATTGCGGGTATCCATCGCATATCGGGAATCCCGCCCGGAAGGTGAACTATTCCGAAGTGAAGTGTGCGAAGCTCAGGGAATTGCAGCGCGCGCAGAGCGTTGAGGAGGGGTTCTGTGGAATGGTGATTGAGTGGGTATCGACACGTGTCAATGAAAATCAGCTTTCCCTTTGTATAAAGTCACAACTCACCACGCGATGTGTATCCATTGAGCATGATTTGAAGATCCATAACCGTCTCGGCGCATTTGGCAAGGAATGAGGTAAAAATCGGAAGTGCGCTGTCCCGGATGTACGTCCAAGAGATCCGCGCTTGCTCTAGTGCTCGCAGCTGGAAGGGTGCATTTAGGAGCAACAGAGCCGTAGCGTCGTTGTACAGCCCGTGCCCCAATTCCAATTTACGAATCTGAACCATTCGCTTGACGTCGACCGATGTCCCTGATTCGAGCACTTCATCGCCGAGAACCTGAGGCAGATCCGATTCCAGCTCGTCAACCCAGTGTCTTCGAATAGTCGCAAACTGAGACGCATTTGACAACCAAATACCGGAGGTGACTTTCAGTGCCGACAGCGCAGGGAACGCTGAGAGCATGTGCCGAAGGCGACGCGGCTCGTCCATCCTTATGTCTTCAAGGCAGAGTTCACTGATATCGGGAAAGAGAACTGCTAGCTCTTCGACGACGGGCTGCCACTCGAAGCACGTAGGGGTGAATCGTGTGAGTCGAAGATGGCGGATATGACCGAGCTGTTGGAACGACGAAGGGAGCGTCGGCCCAAGCCAGTCTTCGAGGGGGTATATGCTTACGAGTGAGAGGGAACGAATGTAGCGAGTGAAGTCGGGGATGGTTGGGAGGCGGCCGTGGAGGGTGCTCTCGAGGTGACTAACTTCGTGCCGGCCGGACAAGGAGAGGGCATGAAACAGGTGCAGACGAGTGGTTGGAAGCCATGTGCGGCATACTAGACTGCATGCCTCTAGGGTGCGGCGGTCATTCCAGAGGTTGTCGAGAATGTAGTCGGATAGCTCTATGGGAAGCTCGGGGAGACCTGGTTGCCCATGCGCGGAAGCGTCGAAGTCAGTCGCCACTATGACGAGAGGGCGTACGTGCTCACTGGTGGTATCACACATGAGAGAATGCAGCTCGAGAGTGTCAGCGTTGGGCAATTTCTGCGACTGAGGAAGTCGTTAGCAACGACTGGGATCCATCGTTTCGTACGCGTACCTTTATCCTAATCTTTGGAAATAAATATTGGCATGCTACTATGACTCCAAAGCGACAGTCAACGCTCGGAGAGTCACAGAGACAACTGATAGCTCTAGATGCAGAGCGTTCACACAGACGGTGCGGCGGAAAAGCAAGCTTGATCTACTTATCTCTCACCGCAGCGTCACGACGGTTGCAGTCGGCTGCAAGCGTACAATCTAGTACAAATCGAACTGGTACTAAGTGCTGCATACTGATTGTTCATGATCGTTGAGCAAACCGATCCGGGGTTTGCAGCAATCACATGTTTCATTGCCCCATCGAACTTGAACCGACTCCGGCCCATCTTTTCTCCCGTGCTCAGAACAGCACATCCTCTGCCCACTCTCTATGCCACTCATTCCCCATTCTCCTGGTTTTACCAGAAGTATATTTCTGCGTGCCATGTCTACCCGCCTTCGTCCGGACAAATGGAAGAGCCTCGCGCCCCCACCCCTCCCGGGTCCTGCATTTGCTGCACAGAGCTCCCTCCCGCGTTTGCCTGTCCCGCCTCTGATAGATACCATTAGCAGACTCAAGGAGGCTCTTCGCCCAATTGCGACAGATGACGAGGAATACAGCGAGGCTATACGAAAAATTGATTCATTTGCAAGCGGGCCAGCCGAAGAGCTGCAGCGCAGGTTGCAGGCGCGACATGCGGAGACCACACACTGGCTGGAGGACTGGTGGGACGATGGCGGATACCTGGCTTACCGCGATCCGGTAAGCAACACTTCAGGCATCCAGTGGCCAGTCATCACACCTAGGTCCTTCAGGTCTTAGTCAATGTCTCGTACTATTGCAAGTCGTCTGTCGTTTGATCATGCATCTTTGACGCTTAAGTGTAATTCCAACCATAGACGGATTCGATGACCACCCGGCACATCTGCCTCAGACACCAGCACACCGGGCCGCCTCAATCGTGCGCGCCGCCATGCTGTTCCGCCAGAAGCTCAAGTTAGGTCAACTTGAACCAGAGGCAACGAAGGAAGGTCCGATTTGTATGGATACGTATCGGTGTGTATATTGACCACTAACGTTTCGAATACCATTCAGCTACGTTGACTATTTATCTAACCAGCTTCTCCCAGGTGGATGTTCGATTGCTGCCGTGTTCCTGGTCAGCCCGCAGATTGGAGTGTAACCTATTCGAATGCGGGTGACCGCGGTGATTCTGGCCACGTAGTTGTGCTTCGCCGGGGTCGTGCATGGAAATTGGAGCCATGGCAGGAGGGAAGCTTGTTGAGTGTTTCTGAATTACTGAAGTGAGTCTATCTCAGCTGCTTGTGTGTAATGTTTATCACACGCTGTACAGGCAGATTGAGTACATATATGCGCATACAGCGGAGGAATACCCTGCTGTCGGTCTTTTAACTGCGGGGGACCGTGATGCGTGGACTAAGGTAAGGCGCTCTCTATCTTAACTACTGTAAAATCTGACGTAGATACCTTTTAGGACTACGACGCGCTTGCAGCTCATCCTCAGAACAAGGAAGTTCTTCATACAATCCACTCTGCGGCGTTCGTGCTTTGCCTCGACACTGAACACGCGCCGGATTTGGTTTCGCATAGCCGATTGCTGTGGCATGGTGCTATTTCGTCCTCGTCTCCTGCAGAAATGGGCCTTCGTAACAGGTGGATGGATAAACCGGTCCAGTTTGTCGTGATGGACGACGGGAAGGCCGGCCTAGTTGGGGAGCACTCCGTAATGGACGGGACACCGACAGTAAACCTCTGCGATCATGTTCTGGACACGATCGCCGCTCCAGGGTTTTCCGAAACCGAAACTATGTCGTCCATCTCCGTCCATCCATCACCACTGGATTGGTTCATTTCTCCGGACACGGAAATTGCCATCACACGCTCCGCGAGCGCTGCTCACGCCCTAGCTTCAAGCCAAGCACTGAATATCGTGCGCACGCGGTATGGAAAGCGCGAGATCAAGGCGTTTGGCGTGTCGCCGGATTCATGGGCGCAGCTCCTTGTGCAGTTTGCCTACGCGAGACTGTTGCGCGCACGCGGAGAACGCCGTATGGGCGGGACGTATGAGGCTGCGTCGACGCGGCGATTCTTCAAGGGCAGGACGGAGGCGATCCGCGTCGTGAGCACAGAAGCAGATGCCTGGGTGCAGGCAATGGATGACCCGGTCGTGAGCATGAAGGTGCGAAGGGAGCTATTTGCAGCTGCTGCAGGAGTGCATATAATGAGGGCGAGGATGGCAGGAAAGGGGCTGGGGGTCGATCGGCACTTGTTAGGTGCGGGTTTTTAGGATGCTGCACATTGTGTAGATTGCCGCTAACGCGGAACTGCGGCGATATAGGTTTGAAGAAGGTTCTTAAAGAAGGAGAAGCGATGCACGAGATGTTCTCTGACCCCGTCGTTACACGCTCGAGCTATTGGGTGCTCAGCACATCCGCTGTGTTCTCGAAACACTTTGGACCGTACGGGTGGGGAGAGGTCGTCCCTGATGGATTCGGCGTTGCATATATGACGGGATTTGACGGTTCGTATCTATGTTTTCAGCATTCTTTAGCACTCATCTGTGCCGTGTAGACTATCTACAGTTTACCATCACCTCCCGGACCGAAATGCCCAACGAGCAATTTTGCGCGGAGATTGAGCGTGCTGCAGAAGATTTATACAAGCTACACTCTACACTAGGAAAAGAGCAGCAGGGGTTTTCCACTGCACCACCCAATTCGAGGCTGTGACAACTGCCCCGCATACTCTACAAAGACCCTATCATCTCCTTGCTTGTGGGAATTATCCTGGACATCATACCTGGCCATAAACTGTACTATTGTCAAATGCTTGAATCATTCCAGTGCATCACTCCAGTGACCGACTCACTGACAAGTATGGTCTCGTTTATGCTTGGTCATTAAGCCTGATGTTACAACAACAGTTTTGCCATGTCTGGCACAGTCTGTCATGTTGCAAACGAGAGCCTAGGATGCTTAATAGAACCGGAACAAAATATCTCTAACAACAAAATGTAAACTTAATCTATCTGCTCGACCGCTAATGCGTATGATTACAATCCCTGGTATACTGTCTTACAATAGTGAGAGACGACGGATAAAATAGGCACTGTCCGCAGGCGAGACGACAACACTCAATTAGAAGTGGAACAGCCCCCGTTTCTTCTTCTTCTCGTCCTTCTCCTTGCTCGTGGTACTGTTCACAGAGGCCGTCGAGCCAGTGAAGGAGGGCACTGATGGTTTATGCAATCGCCCTGGCTCCTGGCGGTGCTTGGGCTCCGGCGCCGCAGCGGGCTGTGGACGCGGCGCATCGCGAGTAAAGTACTTCTCGTCGTAGTATGCCTGCAGAGGCCGCGCCCCCTTGCTCTCGGGGAGTCCGTTGGGGATTGCGCGCGAGCCCACGCCGCCGAGGTCCAGGACCTTGAGATCGTCGACAAACTGTGTAGGTGTAGTGACGTGCGTAGAACCTGGCGTAGCCCTGGGTCTCGCATCAGATGCCTTAAACGCCTAGAGACGGAACGCACCGATAACGATGTCCTTGTTCAAGGATTTGGACAGGAGATACGCTTCTCTCATCTCTCCATAGGTCATACCGCCGGCCACGAAGACGAAGACGCGCTGTCGAATTTCTTCCCGAGCACCGCCCGGCTTGGCGGCGCGGTGCCAGCTAGGCTTCGCACTCCGCAGAGAAGTTGTGGGCTGTATGGGTGATGCGGTGCGCAAGCTGGGTGTTGCTGGCGCTAGTGATGGTGCATCTTTAACATAGGGAAAGAGCGTGGGGTCGAGTCGGTTATTGACGTGATCCTATGCGCTGTGAAGCCTGCGTATAATAGGGTCAAATTAAGATACTCACCTCCAGTACTGTTCGCAATAGAGGTTTGAATCGAGATAGCTCGTATTCCTCCTCGTTGTTCGTCTTTTGTTTGATCTTCTTCTTCACATCTCGATCTCCTGGACCCTATCGACGAACGCGGGATAAATAGTTTGAGAGCAAACATGACCTGTTGACTCACTCTGCTTATCCGTACTCCAAAGTGCACCAAAGCATTGACTGCATCCTGCTCTGCCATCAACAGTTTTGCATGCTGGTACAACCTTCGCCGGTCCTCGTCTGGCACGCCTTCGCGGAATTGGATGTAGAGGGCGATCACGCGAACCTTGTTGGAGTTACTGCAATGTCGGTTTGACATGAGATTAAATATGCACGCCCCGTGATGGCGGGGCCCACGCACATAACATCTCGGCTATCCAGCAGTGGCACCATTTCCTCTACCAAGGTTTTCGGCGTCTTACCTTCAGCTGTCAAACCTGTTGCGCAATTCTAATGACAGGTTCAATAAATTTAGAGAGCGACAATCTGATCACAAACCTGCTCGACTGCTGCAACAGAGGGCAGCTTAGCGCGTTCGAAGATCCCCATACACTCTTGAGCCATGTTTAGGTGCAATGAGAACTAGCAGAGAGATTAAACCGGAGGGTAAATGTATAGCAACGATCTACCTTCTCTCGTTGCTCCTGATACTGCGGTAGGTTGGCAAGCATGTCCTTCATGTCATTCAGGTTTGCTGCTCCCTCTCTGCATACTGGTCAATGACAGTTATAACTCATACGTCACCACAACCCATACCCCTTGAATCCAGCATTGTCCTGCAAAAACTGGTTGAAGTCCGCCATCAGCTTGTCGATTGCCTCGCGCATGTGCATATGCCGAACAGCGGTCCACACGTTGTCCGCGTCGGAAAGTATCGCAGCCTTGTCCTCAAATGTACCTTGCGCGGACTGGAACTTGTATGTGTACTTCGTACCGTCTTCGATAGGAAGTAGATCGTTTGCCATAGCTTGGTAAGTAAATTCATGTATGAAAGGGGAGATAGTGTCCATGGCACGGTCTGTGATAATCATTGTAGAACGTGGTCGAGGAGGGTCGGATGCTTTCTGCCAAGCACGTCCCGTCAGGGACATGCAACGATCGCTACACATTGATTGGAACGTACCGGGAAATCAGGGTTAGCCTTTTTGTACTCATCCAGCTCACGCTGCACTGCGAACGCGAGAATCTTGGTTACAAAGTCGGAATCCGCAGCTTCGTACGATCGTGCTTCTGCACCACGCGCTAGCTGTGTGCGCCATCGTCCGCTGCCCTCTGCTGGTGGCGGAGCGCGCGTGGACGCGTGCGGCTTGAGTGCGCCAAGAGGTGCGTGGTGGCTCGGCAGATAGTAGCGAATATAGGGATATTCGTTGAGGGTAATGCAGACGTTGACAATCTATGTCGCCTGTTGTATTACATTTGATGCATCTCATGCGACCAAGCGGATCTCACCATCTTACTCGCGAACCGCAGTTCCTCTTCGAGACGACTACGAGCGGAGGGGAACGCTGAGTCGCTCCGAGGTGGGCTATAAATGTTGAAGAATGCACCGGGTAACTTGAGGGAAAAGGCTTGAGCTTCAATGGCTGTAGCAGATGGGCGCAGGGCTATCACTGAAAGGACAGTAGAACACCTACAGACATACGTACCCCAGAAGTTAATAAACAGTTCCTGCAAAGCTTTCAAATGCGGTTCCGCTGGGGACGACGTCAAGCGTTGGAATAGCTGCTCATCCAATCCTTCCGGCAAACGATCAGCCACAAAATCACGGCCCTGAACTGCCACACATACCGTCAATGAAGAAGAGATGAGCACCAGCATATTGCTGTTTCCCGTCGGAGAAGTCTCTGATTATTCGATCGACGTTCTGCGAGGTCGACATTAACAGATACATGGCCTCAAAACCAGGCTGAGGCTCGCGATAGTTGGTGATCGATTCAATCACTTGTAGCGAATTTATTGATCGCTCAAGTGTAAAGTGCAATATGATGCTCACGCGTAACGTTCTCTTGGAGGATGTCATACTGTTTCAAGACGGAACCCAGCAGCTGCTGAGCATGCTCATCCACAACCAAAATCTTCCATCTGCCCGGGGGGTTAACGGCTCTAATTGCGTCCAAGAACTCTGCGCAGTGTTCAGCAGATGATGCGAGAGTCTGCGAACTTACAACACGTACTATTTCGCACAGTGTTGATGAGAGAGGTCATGACGGTTCGTGAGAGGCAGAGGCAAATGAGTCTCAGCTGCGTACAGTTCTGGTCGAGCGCACTAGCGCCCATCTCGGCTGACCGCGTCCATTAATAGGCGCTCAAATCATGGTTCCGTCCAATTGTCTCAAGTAATGCTGTCTTAAGCGTACGCTAATGGCTTAAGTATCGACTGGTGAGCGGATGCAAATCACTCTTATTGGATGATTGACATATGCGCATTGAGCCGATTCAATGTCTGGACACTGGCTGCACTGGGAATCAAGTTCTACTAGTAAATCTCTCGATGAGTCTGTGCAAGACTGCGTTTGAACCGTTCTTTTTGCTGAGCGCTCAGCGAATAGTAGCAATAACCGACTACTGGCCGGTTGCCATGCACCTCTTCCAATGCGTACACTTATCATTTCTTCCCGCATGCCATGCTTGCATGCGAGTGGGTATTTTGGACCTTATTTCTCAGCATCATTTGAAACAGACAAGTGTCACTGAGACAATCCACTGGAGCCTGGCAAAATCAATTTGCACGACTGCGCTGACGAAAGCCAGGGTGTTGAGCGCTGCTTTCTGTGTAGTACGTTTTTCCACTCACTCCGCATGTGGACTGGCACCATGACTTCTGCGTGCACCAAATCCCACAGGAAAAGACTCACACTGGACAAGGATCAAATTCCAGCGTCACCTCGGAACCCCCTTACATCCGTCAATGACGTCTAGAAGTCAATTGAGCAGGATCACGCTTGCGATAAGTTTGCGGATGGGTCGGGCGTATACGCATTCTCCACGTCAGTCTGGACGACGCAGGAGCAAGCCAGATGACCGGAGACGCTTTCCCAAGTAATCTGGTAAGGTATGTGATGGATGGTCGGGACTGCGCGACGTAGCATACACGCAGCGAGGAGTAGCACTGGGAACGGGAGACTGTTGTATCGTGCTGCCGATATTCTCCAATTTACGAACATTGTATCGTGTCTGAACTCTGGTGCCAGCCAATGTGGCAGCGGCGTTGCGAAAGGTCCTCCGGTAATTTGGCACGGGCGCTAATCTGCCCTTTCCTGCTCGCCGTCGCCTCATCTTCATCTGCATCCAACTTATCCGTCTGCTCGTCGCTGTCTGCAGCGGGCTGCACATCTGGTCATCATGGATAGACCGTTCGGCCCTCGAGAGCCAGATAAACGCCATGCTGCATACGAGTCCATCTTTGGCCGCCCAAGTGCTTCCCATCATCATCAGACCACCCCTCCCCTGCATTACCCCCAAGTTCAGCTGTCCCCACAACCAAACGGTCAGCCATATCCTCAATACCACCAGCCATATGCGCCTCAGCTAGCGAGGAGAAAGTCAAACTCCTCAAGGGCTGCGTCGGTTAACTACCCTCCACAGTACCAGGTCCCTCCACCCCGGCAGGCCTATTACCCCTCGCAACAGGGCTATCCTCAGTTCCAGCAGCCCTACGCCAATTACCCCAACCCCCACAATCTAGGAGCTCCTTCTGTGATCAGTCGGGCAAGGTCTATCGCAAGTTCTCCCGGGGTGATCGTCCCTCAGCCCGAAGAACCTCCAGATGCCGGTCTCGAGGCATTGACACGAGCGGGCCTCACTCCTGCGCAGGCGTACCAGGCACAAGTCTACATGAATGACCCAATGGGTCAGCAGTTACAGTCTCCCCAACCCGCAGAACTACCACGGCTAGGTGTAAACATCGAAACCGACGACGGACTACTCGGCCTCGACTTTGTTGTGGATAGCACCCCGAGCGAGCCAGGGACGGAGGAGAGCATGGAGTTGCCTTGGCCGAAACATCGTTCCAAACCTAGTAGCGTCCATTCGCGACTCTCCGCTGCGTCATCTCACGTCCCTAATGCTGAATTTACTTCCATGTCCTCTTCATCCAACTCCTCTCGCCCATATCCTCTCCAGGTCGACACTGCCACTACGGGGAATGTTCCCCCTGGAGCTTCCAGTAGCTCTCCTGTATCATCTACTGTAGTCGACATGTCTGGAAGTCTCAATGGACGACGCTCGTCCGAGTCATCGAGGACGCTTCCTGGACCCGGTTTTCGCAAAGATCGTGCACCACAAGATCGTTCTAGGTCAATGTCTGCTACAATACCACCCCAGTTTCGCGCCATGCTCGAGTCTGGACGTATGCCGCGACCGCCCGTACCGCCAGCGCTTGGCGGGCGAGAATCTCCTGCGTCCACGCGGGGGCAGGCACAGCAGCGCTCTCGCACCCCGATCGTGTACCCCGCGCTTCTATCGCGAGTCGCTGAAGCGTTCAAAGCTCGCATCCAGCTACAGGACCGGGTGAAGGACGGACTCACGTACAAGGACGCGTTTGATGGGCGCGAGGCGGTTGACAAGGTCGCATATATCATCAAGACGACGGACCGCAATCTCGCCCTTCTGCTCGGCCGTGCTCTCGATGCGCAGAAGTTCTTCCATGCCGTCACGTATGACCATCGTCTTCGTGATTCGGCGCACGATCTCTATCAGTTCCGCACGAAGCTGCCGAGCCCGTTCGTAAGCGGTGAACTGGCCACCATCGACGATGACAACGAGGGCACTATTAAGACCCCAGGACATCTACTCATCGGGGATGGAGTCGCAGCAGATCTTTCGGCACGCTTGAAAAATAGTCCGACACCTTCTGCTGAGTTTGATCCTGATAGGACACACAAGAACAGTTCGCGGCCCACTTCACCGTCTCCTCCCGACTCGGTTACCTCGCCTACCACGCGACCTCGTCAAGGTTCGGTCTCCTCAGACGATGTTCCTCTGCCTTCGGGTGTCTTCACTCTACTCACCGACTGCTATTCGCCAACATGCTCGCGTGATCAACTTTGCTACTCAATCGCATGTCCCAGACGATTAGAGCAGCAGGCCCGTCTCAATATGAAGCCTCAGCCGGGATTGAAGAAACAGATCAGCAAGGAGAGCTTGGGTGATCTGGTGGTATGTCTTTATGGTATCATAGAAAGTATCCCAGCTCACATACTACTGATTACAGGAGCCAGGCACATTGTGGATCCATACAGTACCTCAGGAAGTTGTCAATAGTGTGTCCGACACAGAAAAGAAGCGTCAGGAAGCGATCAATGAGGTGATTTACACCGAACGCGACTTCGTGCGGGACATGGAGTATTTGCGAGATGTGCGCTTTTACGTGCTGTTCTTTCAATGCGTGCGTGTTCTGACATCCTATGTCAACAGCTTTGGATCAAGCCGCTCAGAGAGTCGGATATCATCCCGGAACCGCGACGTACGGACTTCCTGCAGCAAGTCTTCTGGAATATTCATGAAATCATTGCGGTCAATACGCGATTGCGGGATGCACTAAACAAACGCCAGAAGTCCTATGCTGTTGTCGAGCAAATTGGTGATATCCTGCTGGATGCTGTTCCTCATTTCGGCCCCTTTGTTTCATATGGAGCTCACCAGCTGTACGGCAAGTACGAATTTGAAAAGGAGAAGAGCTCAAATCCCGCATTTGCTCACTTCGTCGAGGTTCATACTCGCTGTTTAGTCGATGCAAGTACAGTATGCTAATACCATTACTGACATGTAGGAAGTGGAGCGACGACCTGAATCGCGCAAGCTAGAGCTAAATGGCTACCTCACGAAACCGACCACTCGACTTGCCCGATATCCCCTGCTTCTGGAAGCTGTGCTAAAGCATACCCCTGACGATAATCCTGACAAAGCCGCTTTACCTAAGGCAGTCGAAATTGTACGCGAGTTCTTGAAATCTGTGAATCACGAAACTGGGAAGGCGGAGAATCGGTTCAACCTCTTGCAGCTGGACCAACAGCTAATTTTCCGACCAGAAGAAAAGATCGTTAGTATTGATGTCTTTTCGGGTTCGCAGAATGGCTATGCTAATTGTGACTTCTACAGGATCTACGCTTGAAAGAAGAAGGTCGAGAACTCATCTACAAAGGCGCATTGAAGAAGCAGGGTGATAGCTCTGAACTGCAAGTATTCCTATTCGACCACGCTCTGTTGATGGTCAAAGCCAAAAGCAAGATTGATCAGTATAAAGTCTATCGTCGGGTAAGAAGCCGTACCTGTCATCCGTGGATATATGACTTATAGTGTATAGCCGATCCCCCTGGAGCTGCTTCTTGTCCTAGCGCCGGACGATTATGCTTCGGGCAAGCCTCACAAAGACCGCGAAAAGCAAAAGCTGTCGAAGAACGCCCCCCATGCTCCTGCCATTCCTATCAAGGATGCGAAGGGTGGTTTCTCTATCACTTTCGTGCACTTGGGTCGTAAATATTATCAGATGACATTGTTCGCAAGCACGTATGTCAGCCAGCGCAAGTGGGTTGAGAATATACAGAAGCAGCAGGATCTCATGCGAGAACGAAGTTGGGTATTCGAGACAGTCACGTTAAGCGAAGGCTTCTTCGTGGGTCCCAATCGTGTTACGTGTGCTGCTCCCTTCGGTATGCCGCTCGATTGCAGCTGAACTTCCACAGCTGAGCTGATGGAATTCATAGGCAACTCTCAGAAGACTGTCTACGGTACTGACGATGGGGTGTACATCTCAAATCTCTGGGAGCGAAACCGAGATCCTGTGAAAGTCCTTGCCCTCAAGGATGTAACACAAGTTGATGTCCTGGAAGACTACCAACTTCTTATAGTACTGTCGGGTATGTTCTTGTTCTATGTCCTCGGCCCGAGACTTACGCTGTCATCATCAGAGCGACAAGTCATCACGTTCCCGCTTGATGCACTGGATCCAATGGACCCAATGGCTGGCCTCAAGCGTGGAAAACGGATAGCAGCGCATATATCGTTCTTCAAGACAGGTGTTTGCATGGGGAAGACGCTTGTATGTGTTGTCAAGGCTAGCCCGCTATCGAGTACTATCAAAGCTCTCGAGCCTATCGACCAAAATGTTCGTGGAAGGAACAAGCCTACATTCCGCAAACTGCTACAAGGCGGTAATGACACCTTGCGAGTATTCAAAGTGCGTCGCGCCATTACCGTTATTGTTGGCATTGCTCACCGTATCGTTACAGGAATTCTATATTCCTGTACAATCTAGCTCGGTTCACTTTTTGAAGACGAAGCTTTGCGTTGGTTGTACGAATGGCTTTGAAATTGTCGACCTGGATACGCTGGACACACAAGGCCTGCTGGATCCGGCCGATACCTCGCTGGATTTCGTGCGGAAGAAGGAAAACCTTAAGCCATTGGCCATCTACCGGATCGACAACGAGATTCTACTGTGCTATGATGGTGCGTAATACCGACGTGTGAGCACGATTGTCCCTCAACGAGTTATTGTTTTTGCAGAATTTGCGTTCTTTGTCAACAAACTTGGCTGGTGGACGCGAAAGGACTTCTTGGTCTATTGGGAAGGCTATCCCACGGGCTTTGGTGCGTTCATATGTTTTCGGTTCATCTCACGGTGTTTAATAGTCCATTCCTTGTAGCGTTGTACTATCCGTACCTCTTCGCATTCGAACCGACTTTTGTGGAAATACGGAACGTGGAGACTGGATCGATGACGCAGATCATTCAAGGCAACAATCTACGCTGCCTCTTCGCAGACACGCCGCCATCCGCTACGAATACCATGAACCAATTCCAGTATAACCCGTATCAGCAGGGATATGGCTACAATCAGTTCAGCCCAACCCCAAGTCCTCACAGCGGGCGTTCATCGACTAGCAATGGCTATGGGCCAGTGCAGCACCAAGCGCCGTATCCCAACTCCTATCAGTCTCGGGCTCCGACATCGGCCGGTCGCGACGACATCATCATGGTCTCCGACGACAAAGTCATGAGGCTGCAGATGACTATGTCTGCCCAGGGACAATAGCCGTGACGACCGTGTCATCTATTTAACCTTGGTTGGAACGGCACATCCTGGACAGTCCGAAGCAGAATGTCTCATGGCTGTGTGTTATCATAGTGTGTTCTCTCCTCATTTAGTGTCCCCGCTCCGCCCTCTGCTCTGACGTCCATCTGGTACGCCGTGTGTGCTGTGTGTCTCCTAGTGTTCCCGTCTTGGTGTTGTCTGCTCATCCGTCTCTACCTCACAGCATATCTATATATATCCTTCCTGCATTTGTAGCCGAGATCACCTGTTACGGTACGCGTAGCTAACATTTATTCAAGTCACGATAGATCACGACGCACATTCCGCGGTGAAAAGTCTGGAGTTACCTTCATTCGCGGCGCGGGTGGTCGCGCACGGCAAGCAACAGTTATCTTTGGGTGAAATGAGGTCATTGAGGTTGAAGCGACGTAAATGCGCTCCTTCAGCTTGCCTCAGCCCTCGTGCTGTGAATCAACACCGGTTTGCATTTCTATGTAGCATCTGAAGGGAGCCCATCCGTTCGGCAAGAGAACACAGCGATACGGTGGCTCGTGCGCACCGCTTGGATACAGGAGTAGTAAACATGCTGCCGGGGCACGACGCCTTCTGATATGCTCCCAAATCTGATATGGAGTGACCCTCACCAGTCATTGTTTTGACCCAGAGCAAGATGATCTCGAGGGCGCCTCTGTGCCTCTCGCTCTGCAGCGCGATCCTTCTTACGAAGACCTCATGCGCACTGAGGGCGACGAAGTTGACGTTGATGAGCATATTGACCGCTCCTTTGCTCCGCTGTTAGCACGTACACGCGTTACCCACTCGTTTGACAGGGGCTGTGCATTTTTTCTGTCAAAATTTCTGCTGCTATCAATTTAAAACTCGGCACCACTAACGGCACTATCGCTTGTGACCCAAAGTCCCGTATTGAAGGTTGTCCTCTTTCGCAAAATCTGGGCTAGTTTTGTGGACGCTCAGATTCTGTGGAATCCGAAGAAAACTCGTGAGATGCATGCATTTGTTCTTCGTGGAAAAATGCGCATAGATCCATTTATAATTGGGTAGGCTTTCTTGATCCTCATCTACCCACTAGCTTACAGAACTACATTTTTGAGTGGCATCCTGGTCAGTAATGTCGTCTTCACGGGGTGCCGTTGTACTGACAATTGTTAAATCAGATTCGACGAACAATTTTATCATCAAAGGTTCAAAGCACATCGGCATGGAATGGCCCTCGCTACGTCAAGCTCGATTCTGGAACATTGCTGGCTCTGCTGACGCAGTGAGTAATATCTGTGATCTCAATTCTCCTTGTTTCCTTTGAGAACCCACTTACGCTTTTCGAATTGTGCTAGTGTCTAGATCGCATCTCTATCACGGTCTCATACCAAAATGTGCTCATTTTACGCCTACATTGTTCGCTCTGTATTTGCCAATTGCAGGTTGTATCAGAGGATCAAAAAATTGCAATGGCGCGTCGCAGCCTAAGATGGCTCACCTCTATGACCGATGAGGTTGAGACTACACAGATCCGCGATGATGACATGGGTGAGCACTACCATGCCAGCTGGCGCGGTTGACTTGTTTGTAGTGCAAAGCCCGAAAGTACAAAGTGTGGTCAAATGCGCATCACCTTTTGTCTTGAAAGTTCTCACCAAAACACGCTGGCTGGGTTCCGCGCTCGTATGCTGGCCAGTGGTCTTTGGCTTGTCCTGACAAGATGAAGCTGTGAGACGGGACGGCTTGAAAGTGATCGGTACCGCTGCGCGTCACAACTCGGTCGATCACCGTTCAAACAGCTTATACGTGATCCAACGGCCTCAGAAAAATTATCAAAAATTATCAAAAATTAGGTAGAGTGAAAAGACATCAAACCTATAGAGTATAGGTGAATAGAATAAGAGAAAGGGCTTGGCCGGGAATTGAACGGCCACTGTCTTGCGCGCAGCGCGGCCGCCCGGGGGGGGAGACGAGCCATCTTGCGCGAAACGCGTCACTGTCTTGCACGGAGCGCGGCCGCACTCACGACCACCGACTGTCGAGCGGGGGGGGAACGACCACGCGCCGCACACGTGATATCGCCGACTGCACGGCCGCGCACAGTGACGACTCTCTTGCGGCGACCCACTGACGACGGACGTCGCCTGCTCAACGACGCCACGGCGCCGCCCACACAACCACCGATCCTCGCCGCCAGGAGGGCCCACGACCACCGACCCTGGGGGGGGGCATCGAGCGCGGCCGCACACACTATCACCGACGTGACGCGTAGCCACTTACGTCAACCGATAGCGACGGCTATACCGACGTCTCATGCATGGTCAACGCCGCCACGGCGCCGCCCATACGACCGCTGACCATCTTGCGGCAAAATACCAAGACTCACAACAGTCAAGTCCCTGAGACTAGCAGGATGTAGCACATGGGATGGGAGTTGAAACTGATGGAGGTGTTGGGCTAGCACTGGGAGGGTATTGGGATTGTTAGGCACAGTCAGGGCAGTAGAGGCAGTGACTTGGGTGGTTTGGATATGATGAGGGATATTTAAGAGTGGTTTTGCATGATTGTAGCACAGCACTTGGCCCCTAGTAGTGAGACTCATGCAGAATCACATCCCCCACTCAGCAGAGCTCAGTCCGACTTCAAAATTTGTTTGAAGTATTGTGTATACCCTATGAACTACAACTATGACCCTCTAAACTGCACCTATGACTGTCAAACTGTGTCTGACCCTAGTCCACACCCCAAAGCACACCCCCACATACAGCTAAGTACTCTGAAGTTCTGCCCCTATGTCCAATCCTTGAATGAGACTTGAATATCCTCAATTGAATCGCACTTCATATTCGAGTCATCAAGCCAGTTCCCTCTATCTTCCCTTTGCTTCTACACTGAAGTCAGAGTGTTCAGACAGTTTGAAACAGTCTCGTGACACTGTCCTGAGAGACATAGTGAAGCCCTTGCTGTTTGAGT